AAATCCCCCATTCCAAACACTTTGGCCTAATTCTGTGAAAAATCTCTGCATATCAAAACTCAAAATTTCACATCTGTCAATATAACCAGGCGAGCCTTAGGTGATCCCTAAAAAAAGAATGAACCCTTAGGCAGTGTATATGGCCCATAATGTATAGCAGCAAATAAATAAGAATAAAGTTAATCCCGTAATTGCACAATCCATTTTGTCACCAGATCCGATGGATATTTAGAAGTCATTATGCTTCGAGCATCAATAGGGCTCTCCTACACAACATCCCTTCTGCGCACGCGGCAACTATCAAATTGTTGACCAAAATTTTATCATTTAATCGTTAAACTAATTAATACTTGCTTAAACAATCCTATTAACATAATTAACAAAAAATTCATTTAAGACTGAAGTTTAAAATTTTCAGTGACTTGTTACTTTTTCACATTTTTTTCCTTTTAGGCCCCTGAAGAGCCTCCCCTAAAAGTCACCATCATTACCTTTGACAAATTGCACAATGTGTAGACTTCAGGCCCTGAAATGGCTAACAGTGAAAGTGATTTACTATCACCCAGTAGAAATAATTACAGTATTGGAAAAAGTCCTCCTCCAGGAAACGTATTCATAAGATTGCCAGCCCAAAAACACTAAGTTGTCAATATTAAAAAGGGTTTCTTTAATTCTTTTTTAATCTGTTTGCCACTTCAAAAAGACTCATGTATGATCTAAATCATTCCAATTATCTTTTATGGTTCCAAAACTGAGACCAAGACAAATATCAATCCAAGACATGCCTCAATTTAGAAAAATTTGACACAAGCCAAATACAAATAGAGGTCAAAGGAGCCAAAAAAAATTTTTTTCCCCCGATACAATCAAGGATAAACATAATTTTCAAACTCTTCTATATTGACAAATCACAAGAAACTTGCCGTCAGATTGTTCATGCCATTTGAGACCAAATCCACATCATTTTTTACTCTCTCAATTCAAACACATTAATGCCAATATCCATTTAAGACTGGAAAGGAAAGTTATAAAATATAACCAAATTATTTTACCCAGTCATAATATTCACTACAGGATTCTAATTGATCCATCTTTGACATTTCCTCTCAAAACCTTGCAAAATGCCATTTCCTAACCAAACATTAAAATTATGCTTCATTATATGGAAGTGGTTAAAAAGCCTTTAGACGTACGTGCTGCCTCCTCATAAATCTCTAATTCTGTTCACTTCTAGGTAACATATTCTACATTCTCACAGTATCAGCAATTACTTTTGCTTCAAAATGAAAATTTTTATATAAAAATAATCTGAACTGTTGTAAGTTACGTCCTCTTGTTACAGTACAGAAAATTTAATTAGAACACATAACGGTCTTCAGTTTCTGTGTGTAGGAGTTTTTCTTTTCTAATATTCAGCTCTCTCCTTAAAACACGACTGCAGTTCTTAAGGAGGGGTTGTCTTATAAAACAACTGTGACCACACAAAAGCTGGCCGAGTTTATTGATTTACATCGCCGCGTCTCCTGCTCACAAGGTAGCTGCGACGACGACATCAGGACCCACGTATACTGCTTCTGCCGCCGCCATCATCAACGTGGTCGTCGTACAGATTCACCCCCCGAGGGTCCAGTCTCTCATTGACCAGCTTAAAACAATCAAAATCAGGCAGCATCATAACAGCATTGTGACACATACTTCACAGCCCATTTTCAGATTAATTTAGCAGGATAATTAGCTGTCTTTCATTTAACATATTCTTTAAATCTGTAATTGATCACAGCAGAAGTGACACAAATAGCTTAGAACATAAAATGTGTGTCTTGTACATTGATGCATCAGTTGACTGAAGTCAGTTCATTTCATTCTAAAACCTAATGTGCGTAAAGTTCTTTTGAAATCAATGTCAAAATAAGCTGATATTGTTTTTAACAGGATTTTTTATGAAGCATAGAATGCATCACATAAAGACATGAAGTCGAAATATTTCTTTCTTCTTTTTTTTTAATATTGTGTAGCGATTTATTTTTAGAAATGAATTTAAAAGGTTTTATGTTACAACATATGGTACAATTAGTTAAAGAGATTGAGTTGCACAGTCAGCATTAAAATCTTTATAAATATTTACAATAATTAAAATGTTTGTACTTGGGTATACCAAGGCCAATCACAGTATTATCAGCTTTTATCAATGGCCATTTTTTTTATTCACAAAAAATATGACAGTTTATTGGCTTAAAATAAATGATTCTTCATTTTTTTTCTTTTACTGTACAAAATTGTACATGCTATCAGTCACATCTGCATGTTCTCGGGATCTGATCAATAATGCTGCACTTCCAAGTCTCCCATCCCTCAACCTGTATCAGGAATCAAGATACCTTGGTGTATTAAAATACTAGGTGTTAACAATACTGTGTCCTTAGTACAAACATGAAAAGAATTCCTAACCACTGCATACAGCTATTTCAGTTGTGAACTTGATTTGTAAATTGACATGTAAATATGTAATCTGTACACTTTTAAGTGATCAAATTGCTGCATTTGAAGCCCATCCTTATTCTATAATAGTGAAGAAACACAATCCCTTCTATCAAAGCTAATTCTGCTTGCCTCTGTTGGAAATCCCTATCCACTCTGAATGGATAAAAAGCAAGGTGGCTATAAACAAATAAAAGCACAACTGTCAATCAATACTCTGACTGCCGTTTACTACTGCTCAAAGAGGGACAACTGAAACGGTTTCAAACCTGATATAAACATAACTTTGCACTGCAATTGCTGTGAAAATACACCAGATTTCACTTTCATTGAATTAATATAAGGGATTTAAAAAGATTTCCTGAAGATTTTCATATTCCTTTCAACTGGCCTGCACACAATTGATTATTAATAACATGGCAATCTTCCACAGATTGGTCAATACATGGTCCTTCTTCATGGACCACAAGGGATAAGGATCAGAAGGGAATGGAAAAGCCATGAAGGTCAATAGGACTATGGCACAATTGTCAAAATTTTTTTAAAAGCAATTTTGAAAATGAATGGGTCATCTTATTTTGTCTAAGTTGAAGAGGGATAACTCTTTCAGAAATCATTGAACTGTGAATAAATTTAATCTTGACCTGTATTTTCTGGAAAAATACATGCATATGCAATTCCAACCCTATATACATCCCTACCTAAGAAAGAGAGTGTCAGTGAAACAAAATTTCTTATCATTTCTAGGTTCAAAGGGAGTATATCTGTCAAAAATCAACTAACAAGGACCTAATTTGAACTTAACCTGTATTTTCTGGTAAAATATTGTATGCAATTTCAATCTAATACATTATGTGTATTGTATACATCCCTACAAAAGTAAGAGAGCTGTAATTGAATTTTTTTCTAAGTTTAAGGGGGATAACTGTCAGAATCATCGTACCAAGACCAAATTCGAATTTGAACTGTTCATTTGTATGACATATCAATATGCCAAATTTGAGTTGAATGAGTGCAACTGTTGCAGAAATAATGAATGGGAAGTCAATGATGACAGAATGATAGAATAGGCAGGGGCATAAAAATACCTGGAAAACATTTTACAGATAAGTGATTAAACTAAATAAACAACCTATTAAGAATTAAGTATTTATTTAATGATGCCTCCCTGACTATAGGAAGAGGTGTATTTTTTGTAATCTTTTACACTGACTACATACAGTAGCCCTAAACAAAAGGTGATAAGATAATTTTAGAAATGCTTAGAAGAAAATACATCCTTGAAGATTTATAAACATGTATTGTTCACTACATGGCCTTTAATGATGAAGGAAAAAGAAATTTTTAACAACCCCACTTCCCATACAATATTTAAAAAGCAGGAAGTGTAAGGGAAATAGAACTAGTAATCCTACACCATATTCTTCTGTAAAAACCTTGTCTTAGCTAAAGACATATTTTTCTTTCCTGTTGACAAGAGACTTAGAGAGCCAGATAAATTAAAAAAAAATCTGTATTAAAAGCATGACAGAAAGATGTATAAATCTCATGTTAAAGCCTTAACATTTATATTTTGCCAATTTTTTGTCAACAATGGTCATTTCCTTAAAATTTGGGGTTATACTTGCATAATGGGCCTTGGCATTTAATACTATTTGTGCCCTTTTGAACTTGAGTAATATTACATCATATGTAAACACAATGTATGATTGATTAGAAAGAGAGATTTAGGTCATGGAAATGAACAATGAGAAGTTTCTGTAATGTTAGCATGTTTATCAAAAATAAATTTGATTTTGAGGTAGTAGGGATGTAATATCTTTAAAGTAAAACTGAATATATGTATGCAATATCCATTTTGGTGTGCTACAGAATGTGACAATTCAACTCTAAATATATAAATAAATATAATGTTGATTATCACTTTATACATACCAAAACATATTCCTTAAATAGTAAAAAAATTTCAAACTTACCACCTGTTTTTCTTTGTTACTTTATAAGCTACATTTAAGCATTATAGAATGTTTTGACTTTATGAAAATTTGCACGAGATGTTGAACAATTCAATAATGCCAGAGATATAAGTAATTACATGCCTTCAGTTACCAGTGTTTTCCATTTATTTCAAAGTAAAGGGTTAGAGATAAGTCGTAACAGGCTAGGGGCTGAGGTTTATGAACAAAATCTTTGTGGACCTTTCAACAAATTGTTATTCAAAAGCGGCATTTTTGTCAATTGAAGCAATCAATTTGGCCGGTAGCCGGTTCGTAGGGAAAACACTGAGTTACACTAAGCAAAATGATCTAACCAGTAAACTTGTACAGTAAAGAAATGGATAATTTCTTTGTCTAAATTGTTACGGCATAAGAAGATGGATCCATGCTTGCTCACTAGATTCATCTAGCACATCAGACAGGACACTGTACCTTGAAATTTTCATTTCCAAATGCATATATCTGATTCATCAGTATACTTTCCCATTTCAAAACACATGACCACTGAGAGTTGTGCGGACTTACCGGGGAAGTGAGTGGTAACTCAGCGCCCCTATCGTGTCCCCGATCTGAAGTCATTAGGGCAGCTGAGTTCTCCTCTGGGTTGGCCTTCAGTTCCACCTGAAAAATAAAGCAAAATTAGTCCTCTGATCATTTTCATTTGTACCAAAGTAATGCATTTAAGATGCGTAACATTTAGCTGGAAAAGCAAGTATCCACAGAAAATTGCATAACCATGATAACTGCCATATAAAAATTTCTGTGCATATTATTTCAAATATTAAATGTGTGTGCTAGTCTCCGTAAAGGAAATCTAAGCTAACTGAAATGGCACAAGTCTAAATGTATATGGTTATGAATAAATGCATCATGTATGATGACCTTATACTACAGGCACAGCTGCCATTGTTACTCACACAAAACTTCTCTAAAAAGGTTAATCACAGCACATTTGATAGTTTACTAAATGCAAATGAAGCATAAAAAATGCCAATTTTTCTACTAGTGTGTTGCAGAAATACTTTCAATCATTTCAATGACTTTTTCTCTGGTTTCAAAGACCACTTCCATTTCCTCAGCTATAACCTTCGTCATGTCGCAGCTATTTAACAACTGGAACTGCATGTCACTTAAAAGGGTCTTTAAAGTTTTTTGTTTTTGTTTTTTCCAGAAACAGGGAAATATTGATGTCATAGAAACAATATCTTCTTTATTTCAATATTATGTGACATTATCACATACAAGCCATCAAAAAAACCGACAATAACATGAAAGGCGTTCAGAAGAGACTTCTTGGAGAGAGTGGGAGGTACTAGGATGATATGATCTGTAGTGTGAGGGATATAGCTATATATATACATCAATGTATTGTGATGCACATGAGCTCAATAATAATCAGACAATACAATATACATCACTACATGAATTTTTTTTTTTTTGATAATTTTAAGGAAGTATACAATGGTTATGCCATTCAAATCAATTCTGCAGTTAGCAATGTTTCCCTAAGAACCTGCTAATGGCAAAAATTGAATGCTTCAATTGACAAAAATGAGCTTAGAAATCAAAAATTGTTGTAAGGGTGACAGAGATTCTGATCATAAACATCAACCCTTAGTCTGTAACATTTTATCTTTAACCCTTTACTTTGAAATAAAGAAAAAACACTGGTTAGTGTAATAAAAAGCATATTTACTATGCTTCTATTAAAATAACAGTTTTAGCATTTTAACAAGTCAACAAAAGGAAGTCTTAATTATCCAAAATTAAAGTAGATTTCATATATAACAAATAAAAGGCTCTCAAGCTGTTAATTGCATGCTTACGGAAAAATTTATCATATACTACCTATTAAGTATCAGAATTTTACATTCACCATGAAATTTCATGTCATTACAAAACTTTAAAGTACTGCGATAGTATGTGAAACACCAGAATAAATATTGATATATAATGATGTTTTGCGACATTTTTCTGAAATCTTGTTATGTATATTGATACTTTTTTCCCTTCACAATACACTTACCTAATTCTTTATGCACAATAATGTTCTCAAACTAAATTCTACTTTGCTTAGAATCAATATTGTGTCTCATTGTCTGTACAGTTGTCCTCAGATTCTATACCTTTCACTAGTATCCGTTAACATTTGATTGATATAATCTACAATCTTATGTTTTGCATTTTTTTATTTGAAATACTTCCGTTTTCTCGTTTTTACAATATTTTTATGCCATGTCATCGACATTTTTTGGTAGCACACTGTCATTTCTCATGGAGGCCGCCATATTGGAAAATGGCTGACATTTCCGTCAGATTTCACCCCACAGTATTGTTTTGCATATTTTACACATGACAGAAGTATATTCATAAGCATACACAATGCTATTTACATCAACACATTAAATATACAGTGAAGGACATGAAAACACCATAGTAAATACACGATTGAGCTTCAATATTGAAAGGTTCTACCAGCACAAGTTCAAAGGCGGGTCATGACGCGTTTTCTGACATATAATGAAGTATTGCATATTTTCTCCCTCTAACAATGTGTGCCTAATATTGTTCTGAATAAATTAGCAATACTGTCATAATCATGTTTAGGTTTAATATCAATATTTGATGTTCAACACGTGATGAAATGTATGAAACAGAATGTAACATGGCGTCTACCGTGTCACGAAAAACATGCTGTCGCAACACTGACATCCACATGTACTTACTTTGGCTATGGATACCATCCACAATCTAAGACTACTAAAGAATCCGTCTTGAAGACCTTTCGGTGTATCTTATCCACTTTTAAGCCAAGAAAGTTACAAAAATGCGTGCCTAAGTAACGAAATGGGGTACAAACTTGCACTATGCAGGTTGATCTATCGCCACTAGTCACATGGGCCGCATACATCCAACATGGCAACCGCAATGTGAAAAACACGTTACATTAGAGTTCTTTTAATGTTGCTAATTTATTGTCAACAAACGTAAAATTATGCATGTGATTCAAATTTAAGTGTATATTTACTTTTATTTAATTTTAAAAGAGATATCATTCAGAGGGGTATTGCTTTGTGCTTTGGCGGGAGAGGGGAGGTCTTCTATGACGTAACTTTGTTGGAGGTCCTTTCAGGGGTAATGTGCACATAGGGCAGCATAACTTCAAATAAAGAACCCTTTCCTTTTGACATCGAGTTCATATAGTGCAATTTTGAAAATTTTAACGTAAAAAATATGATAATTGTAGAATTAATATCACAAAGATGATTTGCAAAGCTGCTGGAAATTCTCTAATCGAAAATTCCCCTTAGATTTTATTCTCACTATCCGGTATCTGATCATGCTTATTTATAAAACAAAATCTAACAGTGAACAGAAAAATTAATATCAATAATTTAGCTCTACTTGACAACATCAATTGATGATTGGGAGAAAACTGGTTTGGAATTCATACCCCGCCGAGAACCTCGGAGTATTTCATGTCCTCCTTATATGGCAACTAAGTAACACAAGGTTGTCGTTCTTGAGAGCCATATAATCTCTATGGGGCGGATCCTGTGCTTTGGCGAATATATAATCTTTAAAATACTAATGTCAAATTCGTACAACCGGATATATTTCAGCGAAAGCAGAAAATAAAAAACACAGGAAAAACAGTATCAGTCTTCAACGTGAGGGGAAAAATAACAGAAGGAAAAAGGGGGATATAAATTTATACTATGTTTCGGCTATCAGTTTATGCATTCCAACTTAGGATTTACATTTTTATGTAAGTAATTCTCTAATGATTTTGATTGGAAAATATAAGTATAAACATATTTTAAAATCATCTGAAGATTTTCTCCTTTATTTAAATTATGATAACTACTTCCTTCATAATCCGTGAGTTTAATTTCAAGCAACTTGAGTTTTTTGTAGATTACTTATGCTATGCAGAAACATCAATCAATAAAACATGTACACAATAATTTATCTATCAATAATATAATATCAATTTAGCATAAAAAAATTCAGATGAGACGTTCCTCAGTTTACTCAATTTTTTTTTTAAAGAAGTTTCATCACTGCCAGAAATTAAGGTGCGTTATGAGGCATAAATTGCATTCGTGCAAGGTTCCATATAGACAATGTTTCCTTAATATATAATACCGTCCAAATATTCACAGACACATCCTACGCAGTGGAAATCACTTATATTGCTGGAATCACAACTTTGAGTTTACATCTTTTTCAGGCATTTTGAACACGCAGTTTAGAAATCAGAAAATAATATAAATATGTTTGGTAAATTTCAAAGAGATTCAAAAACATATACTCGAAAAGGGTGTCACCATACGTACTTTATCCATGAAGTTGACACCATTAACAGAATCACACTTCCAAGTTCTGCAGCTAACTCATTTCCAAGTATTGCATTTTGATGACTGTTCAGGCCCGTAGCAAGATTTTAAAATGGGTAGCCAACCCTCCGAAAAAGTTTGACCAAAAAGAAAAAAACGCATAAACTGGATAATCATTTTCTTTGAAATGGGACTGGAGTTGTTTGACTTTTATCTAACTGTTCGCCCTAACAGCAACAAATACTGGGTGGGGGTATCTAAATGAAAATTTATATATCAATTATTTTATTCTCAGAGAGAACTGATGTCCAACCCAATTATGTAAACTGACTTTTACAAAATAAAATGCGGCTAAAATTAAATATTATCAGAAAAGGACCCCCCTTACATACTACGAGCCTGCTTTGTCTTCCATGTCTCATACAACAATGAATCCCACTTTTCCCCTATTTTTCTTTCAACTCTTTGTCTCCAACAAATGACCGTCGATCTTTGTTCCTGGTTGAGTTCAGTTGAGACTTTCCAGTTTAACCCCCTCCCACCCACATACACACATACAAACGCTGACCGGAAGGTATGGCATCTTGACCGCGACTGTCCCAAATCTGCAACTATTCCTTCGTCATGCGCTCGGCACATTAAAGTGAAGGCGCAGGTCCTTCGGATGAGGCTTTAAAAACTCGCAAGACTCCGTGTCACGGCATGAGTGAAAAATTCTCTAATGGGACGTAAAACAAAATACAATCAATCAATCAATCAATCAATCAATCAATCACCCTTCCCTTAATCACGTGGAAAATTACGTACTGCATATTCTTTTTTGTGTATTTTAGTATCATCCAAAAACAAGATAGGCACAAGGAATTAAAGACATGATTAGCATGAGACAGACATTAAAAATCGCGTCAATAGGAACCCAGATGCCCTCTTCTCCCATATGAATGGTTAACAAGGGCATTTTTTGTCACTCCTCTTTCTATTTGCTTGTTTGCCCAATCACTATTTATTCAACTTTCAAACGGATATTTTTGAGAACAGCTAGAGTGCGCCCACATTTATAGTTAGAGTTATCTTTCTTATTACAGGGTTAGTGAACCTTAATTTGGGTTTTATTTTACATAGAACCCCTTTTTCTTAAAGTTCTAGGTACTAGTATGAAAGAAAAACAAACATAACAACTTCATTTTTTTGTTTTTTAAAGGCCCAGGGTCTCATGTTTTTCTCATAATGATTTCTTCATATTAAAATCTATAGTTTAATCATTCTACAATGTTGTTTTTCTCAATGAACAAAAACCTACTAACTCATTTGTTACAAAGAAAGTGGGCGCACTAGATAGGCAGTCGGCAGGAATCATTGACACGAAACAATTCAGATTTAAATGTCCAAGCACCATGTAGTTTTGATACATATCTAAAACAATGAACATAGAAACTTCATGGGAATGGATTTCTGTCTTATGCTTCTTTATTTCTAAATATTTTTTTTTCCAATTAAAAGGTGTCATGAAAGATAAATTATCTATTCTGGATACATTTAATTGAATGTAATAGAAGTCTAATACTAAATAATTTTTGTGCTCAGTTTTCAAATTCACTTAAAAAGTTCCCCGGTTCCGAAATTTTCAAGTTTATCAACGTAACTTTTAACGAAAAATATAACTAAAGTTATTTGTTGGATATATGAATTTCAGTTTAATTGATATAAAAATGTTAAATATTTTGATACTACTTAAGAAGTTGCCTTTAAAAAAAAAGGAAAGTTATATTCAGAATTTTTTCCAGGGGGGGGGGGGGCAACCCAGTCAAAAAATAATCCAATCCCAGAATTTTCGTGACAAGCATAAAAAGAAGAAAAAAACCTAAACTCGCTTCAAAATTCAGGTTTTGTAACTTTGTAGTTACAAGTTCACTAGAAACACCCCGGTCTTTTTTTCTGCGTTAATATAATTATTTTATATTAAAATAGTATATTCTATTTTAAATTTTAACATATGCCACTACAGAACATGACTTTTAATATATAAATTGACTATTAGTACTGCAGTCCTTGACAAAAGTTAAACGTTAGCGGAAAGTATATATAAAAGATATTCTTTTTGAGAATTTTTCATCAGGTGTAACTTTGTAGTTACAAGTTCATGTATGTATATTTCTATTTGGAAACGTTAGCACTATAAACGACAAAATGTCAGGCACGTAGCAACAGGGGGGGCCAGGGGGCCTGCCCCCCCCCCCACTTTTTTCCCCAACATTACCTTTACTATAGAAAATGTTCATTGAAAAGATGGTTGAAAAAAAAAAAAAACTCGAATAACCCCGGCCCGGGTTTGCTTACCCCCCCCCCCCCCCCCACTTTTTACCATTGTATATTCATAGGAAGGAAATATAGGAAAAAATTGGAAGTTAAAGGAACTTCGCCTTGAAAGAAGTTGGCCACTATTCCCCCCCCCCCCCCCCCCCCACCCCACCCCCACTAAATTTGTTTTTTTTCGGATTTTTTGGACATTTTTTTTTTTTCTTTTTTTTTTTTTTTTTTGCTTGTCAACTTTTTAGGTATTAAAGTAAAAAAAAATTTTCTCAGGTTGCCCCCCCACTTTCAAAAACGATGCTACGTGCCTGAATGTGAACGCATTGAAAAATTAAACAATTAATGTAAAATAATTTATAAAGCATAATTTGCAACTTTATTCAAGTATTTTTTTACTACCAATTCAAAAATTTCAAGCAAAAAGAAAAAAAAAAAATCACTGTATTCGAACCAAAAATGCCACTTCGAAATGGCTCGAATCCACCGACAAACCAATGTAGCTACCACGGGACACTATACGTATAGTAGCTAATTTAAAGCCAACGCCCTATACAATTGGACTTTGTCAATTTTCTACTATAAAATAAATGGAAAAAGTTTAGAATTTGGTATTTCTGGGTCGTCTCTCCATTTTTTAAACAACTGGAATAAATTTTACGGTTAAAAATACACTAAGCACAAAATTAAAATTCATGGAGAAAAGACCCAGAAACAACAAAATTAATGAAAAACGGCTATAAAAGAGTCGATTTTTGCATCATTTGACTCGTACGGCTATATTCAGATGCATATTCAAATAAAATCAAACATGCTTAACTGAATATTTGCCCATTTTACATTCACCTACAATACAGTCATTGGCTAGGTTTTAAACAAAAAATGTATAAATCAATATTTTTTTCTTTTCATGAGCCACTATTCCTGCCGAATCGCCATCTAAAGCGCCCACTTTCTTTAGCATACTCCCTTAATTTCGTTGAACACAGAAACCAAAGGGTCGTAACATGTAAATCCTTCTGTCCTCCCATGATTTCAATCATTTATTTTAAAGAATACCAAGTTTTTTTATGCTAAACTATGGCCTCTTTATTCTTGCGAATGTCTGTATATTCTAAAATATACATACATGCATTGCTTAATTCTGGTCACAATGGCTTTGTACAAACCTGCGTTTACATTTCACGAGGATGCTTGCATATCAATTATGAATAACTTGTGGTGGTCCTGCTTTCTTGAAGTTTTCATTATTTTTCAAAATAAAACTTTGACCCTCTGTTGTGGCCCCATCCCAGTTCCTGGGCCCACAGCTGGTTTGATCACACTTGAATATTAGCTATACATATATACAAGAAATCATGCATGAGTTTTGACTTTTCTTGCAAAGTAGTCAGAAAAAAATTCAAGTGATTCTTTTTTATTTTCTGTATTTCTGAATTTAATATCTCCCTTGAAAGATGCTCTTCTTTTACAAAAAAGGATTCATTTATCCAAAGATGCTTTGGAGTGCTCAAGTTTGGTTGAAACTATCCCATTAGAGAAAATTTAAAATGGGACAAGTTTACATAAACATGTACCTAGTGGCAGGCTGATATAGTTCACTTGAACCTTTGGCTCAGGTGAGCTTGAAAAGGTTGTGTGAAGCATGGGTAAGCTCAGATTGCATTCATCAACATTTAAGTAACATTTTACACCAAGTAAGGTATAATCAGACCTTCATTCAGAATGTCCTTCTTTAAGACAAGTATTTGCTTTTCCCATCCATATATGAAAAGCACTGCCATACTTAAGTAAAATATACATGTAAATGACAAATTGATGATAAAACCATATGTGCCATTGATATGTTTTAATAATATAGATCTATATATATATCTATGCATATATATATTATGAATACACATTTTTACAAGATTTTAAAGGTCAACATCCTTAATTAATTATCTGCAGAACTTCCCATAACTAATTCAACATAAAAGTAGCAGCAACATCATGGACTAGTAACCAAATAGGTGAAAATGGACCAATGATTAATTTACCCACACATATAACCAGGCAACAAGTGATGGTATATCAACACAATAACAAAAAGAAAAACAACCATCCTCTATGAAAATTAAAATAAACAGATCAAGCAAAAGTGTAATGATAGGCCTATACAATCCAAGTTTCCAAAGTGAATAAATGGATAATGAGAAAAATGAATAGCCCAAAATAAGTTCAAGGGACATAACATAATGACTGGGTTCATTCTTTTAAAATAGTTTTTTTTTTATTTGATATAATATACACATATTTGAAATTAGTTCTCTCTTCTTTATACTGTAACTACATATATACAATTTATAGCAGAATGGTGGTTGAATGAACAAGTTGTGCTAGGGAAAACAAAGCCCTGGTTTTCATGGACAAGAAAAAAAAAAATTCTTAACAATACTGATTTACACAAACCACTGAATGTTTGGCAGGGTCTACACACTGCCTAACCATGATTATAAACAATGTTATACAACAATACACTGTACATGTACCATTAAAAGTACTAACAGAAACAACTGGAATTTTGCTGTGACACACTTTAACACTCACAGAAGTTTTATATCTACATGCATTTGACATACTTGCAACATGGTTTTAACCCCTCAATATGATGTCCTGTAAACATGGAAATTTACACAAGAGAGTCATATATGCTCAGAACATTCACATCACTTTTTCCTGCATACAAATGCCTTTGCATATATTTTAATCAGCAATAATTATTATCATCCTAGCACTGTGGAATTATTCCCATGCTTAAATTTGTTGGTGTAAGCAACACATAAAAATGTCCACATCTTAAGTAAATGTAAATCTAATTCTACCTTAAAATCACTCCAAAAAGGCAATACAAAGCAAAAGAAATGTTTTTTTGTTGCCTTCCTCAAAATGGAGACATGAAAATTCAACTTCAGATTTTTTCTCTGTATTTGTGTTTGGCACTTAAATGAGTATAATTTAATTAAAATATATGAAGATAACTGTGCACCAAAGCTTACATTTAATAGAAACTGTAATGGGCAAAAATAAAGATGCCTGGTACAATTGATCAAAAAGTACCTCTTGTCATTGGAGACTAATTATAGTTCACCACTGAAGAAAAAAAAGGTTACACAACACATATTCTTGAAAGCAATTGTTTGCTTATAAAACTTTGTGACCATACAAAAATATACAGACTTAGATTATTCAAACACAGAAAGGGATTACTACAAGAAAGTCGTTGTTTATCTACATCAGTTAAATATATGGTTTGTATAGGGCATGCATAGATGTTGAGACAGAAATTTCATACTCTCAAAGTTACATTTCATTTAGTTAACACATACAGGTAAAAAAATTACCTGTAGAAAGATATACACATGTATTAAAAATTGTTACCTTCTCAGTCAAGTATTTTATACAAAATATTGTGTTTACCTTGTACATGAATAAATAAAATTTCTGGAGCAAGGGAAGGGAAGCAACCTACTTCAAAGCATTGTTGACAAGATTACAGTGACTTTAACATAATCGTACCTAAAGTAAAAATTTATTTTTATGTAAAGATCAAGCTTAGATACATGTATAATCATGCTTCAGTTAAAGTGGCTTAAATGTCAGCTTTTGTCCTTCCACAATTATTTTTCAATGTTATGTTATGATTTAAATATAAGGCTTCCAATATATTGAACAACATGAACCATTTATATAATAAATTAATCTTGTAATGTTGCTAGTTGCTATATATAGCTTAAGCTCTAAAAATCTTATACTCAATATCCTTTTTTTTCGGGGGGGGGGGGGGGGTGTATATACTTAGTTGCTTATAATGTTCTATAGAGTGATAAAGTCATTCAGATTTTTACTGCATAATATTGATAAATTTGTAGAAAGTTTGCTCTTGTTAATAAATAAAGTTTGTCCAAAAATGTATCTATATCACAGATTAATTTGACGTTTAATAATATACATTGTACCCTGGGATGCGATTGTCTCCTCCGTTTTTAACCACCGAGTTAAAATCACATTTTTTAAAATCCAGAACTTTATCCATAATCACAGCTTCATTAATTTGTGTGTCAAATGATTATCAATGCTACTCAACTTCAAAAACAACTTGGGTATATGTGTGTTTATATATAATTCACCAACTTTTCAATACCAGCATACAATAACAATACAACATAAATATAGATTACTTTGAATACTGTGGTATAAATACAAAATTACCGGTAGACGCAATGCACTATTTTTCCCCAAAACAAATATATTCATTTGAATGATTTATCAAGTTACTGTTTACATTCGGTAAAGGGTTGGGCCATGGGTTAACCATCATAAAACTAATCGCCACTGATTTTATAAAGAGATGAACAGTACATGTCTTTTAGCACTAAAAGCAAAATTCCAATACTGATGTATATCAAGATCAATGAATAATTAATTACTCATTAATGACACTGATAAAAGCAAATGACAAAATATTTCAAACACTGACAATATATCTATATGGCTGAGGTGAAATTCAAAACATTAAGTAACAGGGTTTTATCACAAAGTCAATACATATATTTATGTAAACAATTTTCAATTGCAAACAGGAACAAACAAATTCATTTTATGCGTAATAGCAATTACAATTACCTGACATTTACAAAGCATTGCTTACATTATCCAAAATAAATTCACTCAATTATAAATAAAAATCTACATCAACATTCAAAAAGGATAAATATTATACATGTAGTTATATTTGGGGTCCACATACAAAAGAACAGTGCAATTTTTTCCATGTATCTTCATGTTAAAAATCCCCTTTACAGTGTCTCAATAGACATAACTTTGAAGAGCCCCATTTCTTTACAATTCAAAAGCACGATATTTCAATGTGATTAATACAGGATCACTTGAGCTGAAAAGGATGTAACAATGAGACTAGAATAAACCCCCCAAAAAATGAAGAGAGAAAAATTGAAAATTAAGTTCATTCCTGAGGTACATTGTTTAAATCCTTTCTAGCTGTAGGTTCCTTTACATTTTCTGTAGCAGTTTTGGGCCGTACATTCTCTCCCCCCATATCGGGCCTCTCATTTCGAGGAGGTCGCTCGCCTCTCTGGGGGGCACTTTTGGGATGTTCGTCCCTCGGTCTGTAATTCCTGCGGTCGTTATCCCTCCTGGAGTTGTAGTACTCCCCCCTCCTCCTGTATCCTCCCCTTTCATAGCCTCCCTGGTTCCTGTAGTAAGAGTCACTGCCCTCTTTTCTGGGACGGCCCCTGTAGTTGCCCCCCCTTCCTCTGCCCCTTCCTGAGTACTGAGATCTCCTAGCTGTATCAGACTCTGAACTTGACTTCAAAGCTTCATTTTGAGACGATTTCTCACGTGTTTCACTGGGTTTGGGTTGCCTGTCAGCACTATCTTCACTGGTTGTTTTAGGTGATGTACTACTTCCTAACTCATCTAAAAAAAAGAACAAAACAAAACACGTTGAAGTGCATTACTAGAGATTTATAGATATGTCTATCTTGAACTACATGACACTTATCTGGTTATTTTTTTAGCATACTCAATGACACAAACCATAACCTGTCATAAGCATCTTTACATGTACATGTGATATTATAATAAATGTACACATAGTAAAATAATTCCATAAGAAGGACAAAGTGACCTATTTTTGGTCATCTTAATACATGTAAAGTACACAAACATGCAGTATTATCAGAACTGCATCATAAGTTTTGATGGTCCTAGGTTTCACAGTGTGTAAAATTTGACCTAGATACAAATACAAATAGCTTATAATTCCCAGAGTGAAGTCATAGTGATTTACTTTGGGTCAAGGTTTGATGATTTTCGGGGGTCACAATAAAAACTGTCCAAGACTATATCCCAAAAATTAAAATATTTTGCTAATTTTTTTTTTTAATGTTTGAGACTTTCAGTCCTGCCAAATTTTAGGGAAGTTGTTTACAACTTACGGTTAATACGATTGGATAATGGACTAGACTTTGTGGGTGAATGGGCTTGGTCATTTTCTCCCTCTGACTTCATGTATCCCTAGAAAAAGAACAAAGCTTACTAAATAAGAATCCATCATGATGCACACTTACATTACTTTCGAGTTTACAGATTGAATGGCTATTTCAATGACATATTCATAAAGCACATCTTAGTTATGAAATATATCCAGTAAAAAACCCAAATATGATGACATAATTCACACCTGCAATTGTAATGAACCTTTCAACCTCCTTTGAAGTTCTGCCATTTCATGTGCTTCACTGGCACGTAGAGATTCATGTTCAACTTCATGTCCTGAATCTGTAACAAGTTTATTTATCAATTTAACACAAGACAAGAGATTGCAAGGTCACTCAACTAATATTTAAAGATAAAAATTGTGTAGATTTCTACACAAAGTATATAACACCCCTCCATTTTGGTTCATCTCAAACCTGTCACCTAATCGACCACAGTTTTTTAAGTTGTCCATGTGGCTATCAAAACACAATGGCACTCAGAAGAAATAATTTTATAGTTATGATGATAAAAATCTAAATGTTAATAATGCCATACAATTCCTTATGAACACTCCAAAGAAATAACTAGTATCATAAAGATGGGAAAAAATCTAACTGGTAATAATGCCACACAATTCCTTATGAACACTTTATTGATTTGTTGTGGTTTAAGAATCCGCATCTAGCAGACTGGGCATTTGTGCAAGATATTGATTGACAATTTGTATTGGTTTTTTATACTTAGGTAAAGGTCAATCTAATAAGAAGTCAGCTTCAAAAATCCACAATTGTCTAATACGATACTTAGAGTTCATTTTTTTGGGGGGGGTGAGGGCTGGATAAAGGCCATAACTAAGAATGCACTGCCATTATAAGCTTGAAAAAAATCTTTTAAAAAATTGTTTATTTAGACATTTAATAAAAGAATTAACTACTTAACTACTTCAAATTGCCAACTTTGGGTAGAGCATACATGTTAACCTATTGTGATGAAATAGGATTCAGACCTCAAAAGCGGTAGCATTGCGCGCGCGTTGTTTAAATTAGATATCTTTCATGCAATATACATGTATATTATAAGCCTTAATTGAAACAGGTACCTACACTAATTAATCTTAAATATCAACAGCAAAGAAGAAGACAGAAGCACCTTAAGTTTGACATAAATTGTACAAATTCAAATATTTTTCATGCTCATCATTTTGCTTGGATTGGCTGCTTTACTTAGCCTTTTGAAGAGTGATCTTTGCTGAAATAGCCTAGAAGCAATAACTCTGAATGTTCATTCAGTTTTTAAACAAAACAAATGATGGCATGGTTTAATCTAGATCTAAAACAAGTTGTATCTTTCATAATATAAATCAGATTTCCCGCGATGATCGAAATCGAAAGTAGAGATGTGCCACATGGCTTGGTCAATTGATTTCTTTGATTTAGACATTTAATAAAAGAATTAAACGTAACCAATGTAATCAACTATGTTGTTGTCGTTGTCAAATTCAAATTGCCAACTTTGGAGATTTTATGAGAGAATGGGAGCTTTTGTAGAAAAGCTGAGAATTAAAGTAGGCGGGAATGGGGGCCTAAATCGGGAGAGTTAACATGTATGGTAGAGAATGGGACACTGAGAGTAGGGGAAGGGGGTTGGGATACTTTATCAGTAGTTAATTCTTATTGTATTAGACAATTGTGGATTTTTGAAGCTGACTTCTTATTAGATTGACCTTTACCTAAGTATAAAAAACCAATATTGTTAAGCTTAACAATGAAGCCCTAAGGTTTTATAAATTCCAAAAAGTACTGATCACGTATCAAGGAAGTAGCAGTAAATTTAATTACTTCCCTCTGAAATTATTGAGGAAATATAGATTTGGAGATGACGGTGTTTACTGTTTATATAACTTCAGGACTTCCCATTATGCAGTTCATTTCAGATACTGACCTACAATGACTGGTGCTGGACTATTGAGAGAAGAAGCTAGACTGTCCATTTCCTCTGGTCCACTACTGGCTACTGAACTCATGGATGGACGTCTGGCAGAATATGAACATTTGACCGGTACAACTGAAAAAGAGTTTTAAAAAGGACTTTACACAATTCTAAGCACAGATACTTGACACATTGATAGTCCATAAATTATGATGCAATAAATTTAACTGACTTTATTGTCTAATATATTTTAATGATAAATAAATTAATTTTATAACAATGTTTAAAGCATGCAATAATATTAAAGTCTCCTACCAGCTGTTTAGTACTCACCCTCAGCAAATTGACAGATCTCCTACAACAATGAAAAAAAAAATTTCATGTTAAAGCAGTCCTCATGAAAACATTTCCAAGGCACTAAGTTGGTAGGGCTAGTGAACCTGACATATTAACTTGCCAAGGGAAAAATCTGACAACATATTTTCAAAATTAGGAAAAAATTGCCCTAAAATTTGTTCATAAATCATGACATCAAAAATTGTAATTTTATTCAAGAAAAAAACCTGTTGACAGAAAATTAATCAGAAGTGCAATCGTTTGTTTTATAACTGTGAAACTTACCTCTTTCAGGTGATCAGAGTCATATAAGAACCTTGTTGTCCTACTTAAATCCTCATCTATCTTCCTTTCACTTATAAAATGCTGAAATATAAAATATAAAACTATAAAGCTATTGCACAAATCTACATATATAATAAAAGATCTACAAATTGATAATTTCTTTGATCTTACTTCATACCCACCTTTATTTCTGAGCGAAGTTCAGATAATTCTTGTTCATTCATGTTGTCAGACCTGTCTACTTTTGTTTTCAGTTCTACTGCTCTCTTCTGCCTCATTGCAAAGATGTCATCTAAAATCAATATATATTTACATGCATACACTATCATCATATTTATGACAAAAACCATCACTTCATTGTGTTTTCTGTTTCAGAATACCTGTACTTCAAGCCAGATGCTATCCTCAGATAACAGTTTTGTTATAGTTTTTGATTTACATGTGCATTAATTGTATTGACTCAATTTTCATATCACTGCTGGCAAATTATTTTATAAATATCCAGCACAAACACTACTCACTTGCTGCCAATTTGACTTTATCCATCTCAGAAGTGAGTTCTGTTTCCCTGTTGTTTAAACTACAAGAAAAATTAAATTTAGAATGTTATACCAATTAAGTATTTACATATACAAAGAATTCTATTTTGATAATGTGTATTTTTAAGATTTACAACTTTCAGTTTAATACTGTTAAATCTTTCTTTCATTATGCAACTTCTACAGACAATCATAAATATTAATATTATGTCACCTTGTTCTCATCTCATCAAATACCGATTTGATTCTTTTGTAGGTTTTATCTACTTCTTCATTTAAAACCATTCGGAATCTCTCTAATGCAACAGTTTGTCTATGCAAGTCTTTCACCGACTTCTCTAACCCTAAACACAAATATAATCAATTTCATATTAAAGATGCAACTATAACAAACAGAAACTGAACCTGGGCAGTTCATCATTTATCAAATTAATGTATACCAACTTAATCATTATTCAGGCATAATAAAAAATAAAATTTTGGACTATATAGAAACATCTCTTATGAGTTAAGATACAAAGTCAGTTGAATTTCAAAGGAGAAACTGTTAAGAATGAACAGCTGATGTAACTACAGCTTGTAAATTACCATGATGTGCTTTATAGTGTGTTGGTTTATGTTCTGGTTGAGAAGTTGTGCTGGCAGTCCTTTGTCTGTGGGAATGTGAACCTGGAATATGTAAGAGAAAGCCCTGAATACATGTTCATAAAGGTCTAACATGTCACATAAATGTTCATTATTCCTCTGGTCACTCATATCAAATTTTGCTTAAATGCTAATGATTTTTCGAAAAATTAATTTATAATTTAGATTTACACAATTTCAGGAAACGTACCATGAAGGATAAAATTTGTTAGAAATTGCCTTTAAGTGGGGATTTCATTTTACTTACGAGCAGTACCTCTAAATATCAGAGGTATTCCTCCCTTCCTAAACAAAATAATTCAGCTAAATTTCGAGCTAGAGAGGACTACATTCTTACCAGAGTGAGTTCGTTGTCTATTGTGGGGATGGCTGTGGGCTGGCCTCTGGGGCTGGGGTGTTGACCCCGCCCTCTGTGGCTGTGACGATGAGGCTGTGGGGGAGATCCGAGATGAGGGTTGCTGCCTTTGGGGCTGGGGTGACTGCTGTTTTAATGGGGATGATCTAGAGGAGGATGCATTGTTGTTAACATTTGGTGATGACCAGCTAGCTTCCTGTTCACCTGCTATAGAGGCCTGTCCCCCTCCTGTTGGTTCTGTGTCTGTGTTATATAAAGATTTTTTTTACAAGATAGTCATTGAAGTGATATAAGGGTCCAGGCATTTTGTAAATCCTTATTCAAACATAAGAATTTAATTAATATTCTTTGAGATGTTATTCAATAAAATGAGACGGATACAAGAACGTTTACAGAACTTGATGTGAATACCTTGACCTTAAAAAAAAACTAAATCAAAGGAAACTACAAGTTTGGATATAAATAACTTAACAGGCATTAATTTGAAATCATCACAATTAATTTCCACTTAATCATAAGGAATCAGGAAATGTCAGTAAGAGAAAAAGTATATGAACCGCATACAATGTACTTGAAATGAGGAAAATTAACCATATTAAAGATATCTTTAAATAAGATCAAGTCAATTAATGCCTTTTATCTCAAAGTATCTTGATCAGCACAACATGTATGCAACTATCTGATTCAAAGTCTCAAACAATTAAAATAAGTTGTACTACAACCTACCTCTTGTATCAATAATATATATTTTTCACTGATACAGTGATTTGGTGCCCCAAAATTAAAATGTTTAAAATGTATTTGTTTTACTCTAAAATTTTGATTTTATCTCAGTACATGTACAAAGCTGTAGAGTTATCTCACCATTAACTATGATTCCATTAGGTATACCATCCTTGACAGGTATACCATTAGACAGGGTCGGTGAGGAGGCCTCTTTCTTGGGGGACTGGGACTCCCCCTCCTCACTGGCCGCTTTGGATGAAGCCTTCTTTTTATTTTTCTTCTTCTTGTTAGGTGTCTGGAACAATAAATGCACCAGAATTAACATAGCATAAACCCTCCATACAGGTGTCATTATTTCTCTAATCCTGGGGTCTATTTTTTTTTTTTTTGGTTTAAGGAGAAACTCTTGGTTCGTGGGGATTTGATTTTGTGGATGAAGAATTGGAGTAGTTATGTAACATTTTACATTTCGTGGTAGACATGTGGGTCTCTTCACAGCTCGAAAACAATTAAACTTAAACCCCCATAAGAATGTTTTAAATTTACAATATTTCCCTTAGAAAATAGTTGCTGTTTTTGGAAGAGGGGGGGGGGTGACTTGCTATTATCCTCCTATCCAGTCAATAGGTGTACACTAATCATTTCTCTGAGTAATATACTATAAAGCATATTTTATGTAGCAGACAGCTGTAAACCAGGATTCACAAGTGACAATTCTGTCAGTACCTTGTTTCCAGACCAATGCCATTCTTCTAGGGCTTTTTGAGCTCCATCTGTAAAAAAAACAGTCAAATTCATTAATCAAAATCTTAAGTACTAACATCTTAATTAATAATGAACATTGTTTATCATTCTTCAGTCATTGAAATTCATGCTACCATTCACCTCTTCTCTTCCCATATACCTGGTATAACTAGCTATGCATGTATCACATAAGCAAACAAAGGGCTAAGATTACCTTTGCATGAATTCTCAAAAATTGATTCAAGCCAAATTACATAATCTGAATGATTTTCTGCATTGTAAAATCAATATTAATGCACACAATATGGTTGGAAAGTAAAGCTTTGAAAAAAATTCCCAAGGCCATTCTTCTTAAGACTTCATATTTACATGATGAGTACAACAGTAATATACAAAGATTAAACCTCCTTTGATCTTTTCTGTTGTAATATATTATTTAAAAATACATCTCTGAGATATGGATGCATTATGTAACTGATAAAATTGTGTCATGGTTTGCTCAAACTTTTTTGTGTGAATTACCATGTACATAAATGAACTCTAACGTTCAAATTCTTTTTCTAATGCACTGCAAAGTTTGAATTTAAAAATTATGCTGCTAACAAAATAACTAATAATCCATTGTCCTTGGACAAATTGACTACCAATTTTACTTGAATGAATTGTTTGATTGTCAAAGGTCTTTGTAAATGACCTAGAAAAAAAATCTAATTTCTATTCATGATAGACTGATGACACTGATAATCCCTCTTCACTTCTATAAACATCTATTTTCTTTCTAGTGTTGTTATCCTGACTTATGTATAATGCTGCATTAAAGCATCTAAAGCATTCAGAAGATGATTTATCATCACATTAACAATGCATATTAACACTACATAGCATTTTTTTCATGGACTTGGCTGATGTAGAATACAGAATAAAAGAAATTTCATCCTTTAAACTTTAGAGTGAGTTATACAGTATCCCAATTAAGTAAACTCATCTCTAGGGAAGCTGGCCTTATAGAAAAAGAAATCAATTGGAAATGGATGATAAGCCAAGAGTTTTCAATTTCAAACCTATGGAGAATGAACTTAAGTTTTAATGAGTGGAACAAAGAGAAAACCATTGTCCTGTAATCTGATGGAAATTAAGGCTCACTGACCCTCTGATAAGAGAGACAACTCTCCATGGGGTTAATGAACAGAAAGGTTAATTATATGCCCTTAAGCCCTGACAGTGCAGTTAAAAGTACTAGTGCTGTTCTTCTTGTTTATCTGTAAAGTTGCCCTGACTAACAACCTTTTTATTTCTTTCTGCTAACTTCAGACAAACTGTTAAAAAAAACATATATCAAGTGTCTAATTCCATCAGTCTAACTGCCCACAATTTTTTCTTCACTTTCCTGCAGATCTTCTAGTAAAAAGAAGAACACATGACACAGGTAGTGTGTTGACATTAGCATATTGATCTTCCTGCTGCTCTTTTCTGACAACAGGTACAGAACTCTGGAATGTTAAACCTTAAAGCTTCTAAAATTCTGTCTTACCTTCACAGTAAGCTTGTATGGCCTTAGCTACATCATACTCATAGTACTGCAAGACTAAAATTATTTCATTGTTGCTCTTCCCCAGGATAACCTCTCGCACTGCATTGACCTAAGAGTTAAACAATTAAAATTTTTATCTACCTATTCTTCTTTTTTGCATCATGACATTTACATTTTACTTTCAATAAAATCTGACCCTTTAGAGGATATTTTATGCAACAGAATGTGCATTTCTGTAATTACACCCAGCACCACCATCCTCACAAGTCAGGGACCCTGAGTCAACACATTGCTATCTAACAGCAACATGTTGACTCAGGACCCCTGACTTGCGAGTATGACCCAGCTCAAGAGATCATACTAAAGAAATAATATGATTTGTGTCTTGTAATCATTGCAATTTGATTTCTTGTGTTTTTAACCAAAATAAAAAAAAATGAAATTTTTCAATTATGTTTTTTTTTTTTATTGATTTGGCAATACCCAAAGGTCTCTAGTGAGACTGTAGCTCTCCTGGTTTGTACTTAAAACAAAGGATGAGACATGTAGCATTTTGATTTGAAACTATGCAACAGTATTAAATAGAATTATGAACTTCATTTAGTTTCTCTTTGTGGCAAAATTTATTGCAATCAGACATAAATTGTAGGAGAAGTAGCCTTGCAAGTTTTACAGAAATTTTTATTTTTAATAACTATGGTAACATTGTTCATCAAAAACCTATGAAAAAGAATAAGGTTTCTTAATCTTATCTAGTTGTGAGCCAATTGATAATAAGATCACGGACCAAAAGTTTTAAACTGGAGAAGGAATAGCATTTTGAGAGTATTTCAAAGAGATTTCTTTTTTAAGCAACCATGACAACATTTACTTTGAAATCAATAACAAATATAGAATAATGTAGTGTAGTCTTTGTTTGTGTAAATTTATACTGAAATCAGACCAAAACTGTAGAAGTAGAGTTTTAAATGCATTGAAGAAATTTCTATTTTCAGTAACCATGGAAACATTGTTCATTGAAATCAAAAACCAATAAACAGAATTACCCCGGTGTGTATTTTAGTGCAATCTAGTTGTTTGTCAAGCTATAGTAAAATCAGACTACAGGAGCAATAGTTTTTTTAAATATTTCACGGAAAAATTTCTTTTTTATGAACATTTGAACACCATTCTACATGTATTATACATGTATATTATTAACCTTGTCTCTCAGAACAGTGCACTAAGTGGGAGATGTGTCATACTTTTATAATTGATTGTGTTAAGGGAAATAAGAAAAATCCTGACCCCCTTATTGTACACACCTTTTCCTTGATATTCTCTTGGGCTAGGGAAACCTCTGCCATGACTGCTTTAGTTCTGGTATCAAAGTGTATTGTTCCTGAGTTTTCTGAAAAGACAACAGTGACAACATATCACTTTTCTGTACTACTTGTGTTTACTTTTATGTAGTTGTTGCATCAGTATTCTGAAAAAGAAACAAGTGAGTACATTGGATAAACACAAGAAAAAAGCTACCATATGACAATATATGAAGCCTATGACAATCTATAAATATCAGGCACGGATCCAGGAATTGAAGTTAGAGGGGGCGCCAAAAGTAGGCAAGGGGTCTGGGGCCGCCTTGAGGCCCCCAGTGGGTCCAGGGCCAAGCCCCCGGAAGCTCCTGGATTCTAGAGATTTTGTAGGGTATAAATGAGGTCTACCGAGTAGACATATCTACATTTTCTAGACAAAACTGTGATTTACGTTAACTTTGACAATTTTAGGGGGGGCGCGTGGGGGTGCCCCCCCCCCCCCCTTAAATCTGCCACTGAATATAATATTTTCTTGGATAAAAATCTAATAACTACATATATAATCAGAAAATGATGGTTTTGACAATGTGTTTTGACAAAATGAATTCAAACTTTAAGCAGTATACTTGTTAGATTTCAAAAGCAGCTTCATCTTTTAAAAAAAACATCCCTTTATTGATTTGGACTGTATCAGGTCTTTGGTCTACAAACACATGCATACTCAATGAGAAGCTTTCAAAGAAATTTCAACACTTTTCAAGGTTCCAGGAATCGTAATACTGAGCCAGTAAATTAAATACCTTATTAATAAATCATGATTATAGTATTACCATCCATTATGTTAAAGACTAAGAATCCCAAATGAAAGATCTCCCACACACATGTTATGCTTGTAGATTACAATAAAAAATGTGAATAATATTGAATATTATTCACATTTTTTTCATGACCATGGCAAAACTCTTTATCAAAATCTAAAAAAAATATAATACATACATACATTTTTTTACTTTCATTGGTGCTTTGTAGGACTTGTTCTAATTATTGTCATTTATAAATGTGACATGATTATTTCAAGTTTCAAATGAGTACCTTTTAATTCTACTCCAGCACTACTTAATAAAAAATATACCAGTATAATTATATTCTCAAAGAACTGATGTAATTTTCTCACTGACACAGATCAGTAACCAAATACAGGAAGTCTCGGTTGAACCAATCAGTAACCAAAACGTATGAAATCCCCATGTACTTATTTACGTAAACAACTGCTGTATTTACCAACCACAATACCAAAGAAAATGGCCAATTAACAAATGCAGTGATGCAGTTGTTGACATATGGTTGATGAGAAGTACTATAAATGTCCTCCCTGTAGTGTTTTTATGTTAACAATTTTTTAACTATACATGTGCTATGTAAAATACTTGTACAGGGTAATATTTGAAATGACCACAAATGAAATTTGACAAAATCAATTTATATTGTGGTTCATCCAAAATCAACATATAATCAATAATAGTAATTAGGCCTGCTTTGCAGAGTTTAACATTTAAATTCAAAATAAACAATGTCTTCCCTCAGCATACAAAAACTTGTGCATGCAGGCAAGATGTTTATCAAAAGCAGCATTAAACGTCCTTATCCATCAAGTAAGAATGCAGGTTTCTACAGACCAAATCAGGTTACATACTTAATTTCAAATTAATTTCTCACGAAAGTATGCACTGTGAGTGTTTTACACATATCTAGACTTTCACAAGTACCAGTGCGCAGTTTCAAGTTTTTTCCTTGCATCATTATCTGGGTTCTTATCAATTCTCAAAAATATTTTTTCAGCACTGTAAGCAATGTATTATACATGTGTATGCATACATAAATGTGACAAGAAAAAGCGGAACACTATATAGACCTAAACCATTGAACTCATACAAAGCCTTCACTACCATTTAGTACAAAGTCTTGTCATACATTATTGGCCATCCACTGCTTCATGTATTCTTATGAACAGAAAAAATATGTAAGATTTGTAATATTCTTACTTGCAGTTATTTATGTGTAAGAAGTACCTCTGAATTAGAGAAAAAACCTAGTTTTAATAGAAAAAAACGCAGAATCTCCATTACAATGTTATGGCTCTAGTAATCCCAGTGTCTAAAATTGGGATCAGCCCTAATCTTAATGCATCTTTGGTACCCTTTCTCCTCGGTGAACATTGTTATTTCCTAATTGTCATCTATAGTAATCAAAACACCAAACAATAAAATATGACCTTTTTAAAAATTTTTTTCATAGTTTTTCCAAATGTAATGGCCTTTGCCTGAATATTGCATAACTTTAATAAATGCATCATTTCGGTATACTTTTCTGACTTCAGGTAATTAACACTAGCCATACATCAGTGTGTCACCAAATATAGCTACCATAAAAGTTACTGGGAATGCAGTGGAAATTTATTGCTTTAATTACCCATAAGCACTTTTGATAAGTTGATAAGAAGGTTACACTTAATTAAAATTGGGTCATTCTATTTGAAATTAATCAATATTAAAAGCACTTCTACATATATACACCTATACAAACTGCCAAACTAAACAGTTCAACACAATGATGACAATGCTCCTTCGACACTGATATTGATCTATCAGGACTCCCTACGTCATCTAAAATCAGTATCCAAGCACACACTTTTTAAAAAAAAATCTTTAATTTGATGATTTTTGGTAGCATACATAACGCGATCCCTTTTTATATTGAACTGAGAAATATTTTTAAGTCCCTCTGATCTTTGCAATAGTGACAGCTTGACAGATAGACTGTAGAGAACACACATAATCCAAATTTGCTTGAAGTATAACAGAATATTTATGTGTAAGAAAGTGTGAGGCATAAACACCTTTACCTATTGCAAAGGTAGTACATACTTTTATATATTTACCTGTGCATTAGGATTCGGATCATTTGGATCTAAGCATGAGGAGGGTCAATGGTTTCATTTTAGTTAAGAAAGAGAGTTTCATAGGGTCAAGATGCTAACAAATTATTACTTGATCATAAAATGTTACAGATTATAAATATGTAGGGAAGAAAATGAGACTACAACAGTGGTGGGACTACTTCTGGACTGATAATCTTACAGCATCCCTACTTATACAAGGTCAGATCCAGGATTCAAAGTTAGAGGGATGCCAGTTGATAAGGTACTAGTGTTCTTGACTTTGAGTCCCCCACTTGGTCCAGTCCTGGTGGGGGTCCAGGGGGCACAGTCCCCATAATCTGAGATTCCTCTGACTCTAACCCCTGCTTTTATATTGTGACTTGTGCACAAGTCACAATATAAAAGCAGGGGTTAGAGTCAGAGGAATCTCGGATTAAGTCCCCAGGACCTTGTGGATTTTACTTTGCCATCCAAAAATTAAGTCTTTTTATTCTTTGTCAACATGATTACTGATGGAGTTGGGTTAAAATAAACTATTCCAATATTATAAGGGCTGAAGAAATAAAATTTAGAAGTCAGCTTCCCAGAAGCTCCTATATCATACAGGAATATTTGAAATAAAACCTTTCAAAAATTTGCAACCCTTTGCCTGAAAATTTTATCATTTCTTTTCAAAGAAAGAACCATGATTTTTTTATCTTAAGTTTACAACTTTATGCCCCCAATTAACCCCTCAATCTGCCATTGCTATAATATATGGAAATACATATAAAATATGTCACTTCTACTTTTCCCTAGCCACTTGTTATAGAGTCCAATAACTGGAATCAATGGAAAGGCCTGAATGCACTCTCAACGTTAAAGATTTGGATTTTACCAAAGTGCAATAATATATGATGAAATCAGTGCTTTCAGTCATCTGTAAGTAGAGTCCTTGTAACGCCCCATTACCAATTCCAAGGAGGTACCTTCTTTCCCAATCAAATTTGTTAATTTCTCAGCTGTCATAGTCCATTTTGAAGAGCATATACATGTACTTGAATATATATAATAACTTTTGCTACTCAGATTCCTGTATATAGCAGAACAGATATAAAACTTATAACAAAACATCAGAAACTCAAAATACTAAGAATATGAATTTAATGTAGAAAGCTTTTTTCAATATTTTGAAGACCCAAGAAAAAAAAAAAAAAAACAGGGTTTGAAGGCCCTAGAAACTTAGCAGTATCAACTCAATCAGAACATACATAGACCTAGCATTAATGTTTGATGTGTATGGCTCCAGAAAAACTGTACATTAATTGATCATTTAAAAATCCAGTTGCCTTAAGCTTACCAATTCTGTGTGCATGTCATGCAAAACTGGTAATTTGTTAAATATATTTTACTTCAATTTCTTCACAATTACTGCTACACCCTTCAACGATTAGTTTTTTTTGGGGGGGTAAGACATCGTATTTTCTGACTAGCATATAGACAATAGTCACATTTGACATCATAGGAAATTTTGTCCTTTTAGTGCATTGATCTATTATATATTACCTTCAACTTCATTTTGTAAATACACAATTATCAATATTACAGACTGGCAATCTCATATGTATATACTGAAATGCTAGTTAACATTTTTTTCTTTGACAGTACATGCATGGCTAAACAAATATTAATTCAAAAGCACATAATCAATTCTGCAAGTATATATAATGTTTTATTGATAGGTCAATTTAGACATCTAGTCTCCCTATCTTTTATGTTACACAACTCGGATACTGTCCTAGCTGATAGTAAACAATACACCATCTTGGTACACGATTCCACGGTGTATACACATTATGATATGAAAGCTAAATAAGAATTCAGTAAGCAGATTGTCAATTAACAGAAATCATCTAGCTCTTTTATTTGATGCCAGGGAAAAGTAAAGTTAAAATACAGCACGTTACATAAATATACTGATGTCAACATGAAACCGGTTTTTAATACATCCCTCTTTTTTTGCAATGTAGATAAATTCTTCCCCCCTGTGAACCAACCTATGCAATTTATTGCTATAATTTAACAAATACGACAGAACAATAAAAATAAAACGTTGTTTGACGTAGTTTCGTGGGAAATTGTTCCAGGTTGCAGACGTATCATTGCTTGTTATGAAAACCGATGTCACACAAAATAAACAGACGATCATTTCTCAAGCATTACAAGTTGGTATACAAATGCTAGTCGTACGATTAACCACGAGAACTTAATAAATGAACATTACCTGATCGAATACCGTTTTTCCTTGCCATCTTTTGTCAAATATCGCCTGTGCTAGAAAGTTGCAGAGTACTGCCACTTTTACCGGAAGTGCTGCCTATTTCATGCGAAAATTTACTAGTTCCGGGACAGACGAGTTAGATTTCGCGCCAAAGTTTAAAGAAAACCAATCACTGAAAAATGAATCACTGTTCTCGTTTTTTATTCTGTTACTATTTTACTGTTATAATCTAATTATCAAAATTGATCAACAAGTTTATGAGCTATTTTGCAATGATTTAATATATGCCTTCAAATAGATTATCTGTGAAAGAGATGAGTAATGAATACATGTATTCATTTTTATTGCAAAAGAAATACACTATATTTTGGAGAGGGTCCAAGAAGTGCCTTGGTCCACTTATCATCATTTTTAAATGTCTATACATTCATTACATGGAAACTCTGTTAAAAATGCATCCGAATTACATATAGAACATGATATTAAATGTATATCTAATATATTCTATATATTGTTCGGATGCATTTTTTTCCCTTAACAACTTATATGTTAGATTTATTCACAAAAATTACCTTTATTTTGACAGTTGAAAAACTAAATTTCTCAATATAAACTATAGGTTTACAGGAGAGTAGCATTTTGAAAGGGGCAGTCAGAAAACAGGCACGGATCCAGAAATTTTGTCATGAGGGGTGGGGTTGGTGGGGGGGGGTTGCCCTAGTTAAAAAAAAATTCCAACCCAGAAATTTCTTGACAAGCCAAAAACAAAACAAAACAAAAACAAACAAACAAACATAAACTCACTTTCCTTCCCATACAGGAAAAACCTGTTTCGAGGGGAAGGGGTTAGTTTGTTGACTTTTAAAAATTCATACTAGTGACTTTTAAAACCAGTTCTCGTAGATCTGTGTTTTCCAGCAGAGAATAATGGAAAATAGAATAAAAGGAATAAAAATGTCAAATGTATATACTCTAAATAACTACTATGGTTTATGCCTCATTGTAAATTGTAACTTACAATAATCGGGTAGAGTACATAAAAATTAATTACTGTTATAGAATACCCCCCCCCCCCCCCAAAAAAAAAAAAAAAAAAAAAACTACCATGAATTCATACATTCACCTCGGTAAATGTATCATAAAAAAAATCAGTTCAAGTTAAAAAGTTACTTAACTGCATTATCCTTATACGTTTAGGGAAAATCTTTTCCATGGTCAAAGAGTAATTAACCAACAACAATTGAACAATAATTTACGTTTATTTACGGACAGATAAACTTGATGCATTTGTAAAGCATAGGTGACAACTGTGAAATATATTATTTTTAGAAGAAGAGATAATTTATTCCAGCATTCTTTAAGAATTGATTTTTTTATTTCCTTGCATGACTTATCCCCCTCCCCTTCCCTCAGATTCAAATTAACGTCCTTAACAATACGCAGAATTCGTGTTGCAAAACTATGTGTAGTTAATTTACTGTTGAAGAATTTACTCAGTTTATCACCCATAAAACAAAATAAGTACATGCAATATTTGTTAATTTTGGTGCCATATCTCCAGTTTAAAACCCAAAGAATTAAAGCTCAAATATTTGGTAGTGCCAGTGACCGTCGTAAATGCATGGTGGCTTTTGTTGTCCCCCCCGGGGGGGGGGAAGGAGAGAGGGGTGGATAAGTAAGAAGTATTTCTTAAAAACTTTTTCCATCCATAGCCACAAGAAACCGCCTTGCTGCCTCGTCGTCATACTTTATATCGATATCACTAATTATCGTATACTTAGACATACATAAGTGGTCTGAAAGCTTCTGTGAATCCATGACGGAGATGATAAACAAACGACTCTTTGATGATGTCCTGGGTGGCAGACTAAATGTAGAGATGTATATCAGGAGAGGGGTACAATGTATACTCAGTCCATTTTCAGACAAATATAAGCAATGGAAGATCGAGGGAGAACCGGGGATGCCTTAGATAGCAGAACTAACATGTTTTCCACCACTGGACAACAGGGACGATTTTTGTGTACATTCATTATTGTTGCAAGATTTTTTTTTTATTAGATCCAATTGCAAGTTTTCATCCATTATCAGGAATCATGAATTTTCAGTATTAAATCGCTTCATCCGCCGACATTCTTAACAAGTTGGAATTGTTGTTAACCCCCTCCCCCTTATTTCAAGCTCAACAGCTGTTGATTGTGGGGAGTCCTGAATGCCGCAAGGATACACCAATCATTCGGTGTTTTTACCCCTAAATTTCAGGTGACTTAATTTCAAACCACTTTTTCACAGTGCACAGATTTCTGTTTGTGATTGAACAAAGTCTCATAACTTACCTTTTCTTATATTGTTAAAAGGGCGTAGATTCTATAAACACTGGTTAAAATAAACAAACGTGCTATTTTTAGGATCTTTAAAATCCCATACACAGATTAAATGATATTTTATTTACCATTAAAATTTATTACAAAAAACTTCAAAAATATTCCAGAAATGCGGAAAAATCAGAAGCAGACATTACTAAAAAGAGAAATGAATTTATCACACAAACTTACGTCTATATGATCTCCAGTGTCTATAGTCTAGTTTTACGTACTATCAGCAGTGTTATCGAGTTCCTGATTCAAGGTAAATTAAAACGAAAATAGAACTTTCGAATTTGTACAGATAATGAAAGGTTAACGGAATCCTGCTAGACTTAATTTGATTTAACAATCACACTTAACGCAGTCCGATGCAACAGGTACGCGTTCTGAAAAGAGTGAAAGGCCTATTTCCCGTAAAATGTAGATAAATGTTTGACTATTTTTCACAATTAAAATTGATAGTTATATGATTACTGTGAAAAAGACGTGTCAGCACTTTTTAGATTATATAGGTAAAGGTATTATCGGCCACCTACGTAGGTGTTTTCATAGTCTCTCTTATCAACCATTGAGCAGTATTTTTACCTATATACATGCATGTATACATGTATATATCTACAGTCCTATATATTACTTTTATGTCATATATTCCGAAAATTCGCATTTAAAACAGCGCAAATTGTCTGAATCTCTGTGTGTAAAGAAATCGGATATAAAATTAAAAGACTTACTTTTTACCCTAAAATTGACGAGTCCTTGGATGATAGAACTAATTAAAAAATAGTATGAGTCGGGATTGACAAAAATCTATATAGCTATAGCTTATCACTGGACTTTACTCGACAGACCGGCATGAACAGCTGTGTCCTGCATTGATAAATGTACACTAGATCACTAGATATCCAGTTTTATTATTGACCCAATACATCTCTCAATACACGAACATCAATTTTCGTATGTCAACATAAAAGTCGTTTTTACAGATTTTTAAATAAAAGTTTGGTTAAATATTCTTGCGTAATTTGCAAAAAAGATTATTGCAAATAATGGATCAATGAGGCATATGTTGGAAAATATATGAAAGTATTTTCTTCTTTTTTTTTTTTTTTCAATATTTGGCCATATTGTGCATATACACATGAAGACATAATGCATCAATTTGAGACACAGCTTTTAAGATTAGTCCTTCCCTTTCTCAAATTCAACAAATAAAAAAGTCAGTCTACTCTCGTGTACGTGAAGTATTCAACATTTTTACATATAAAACCATCGTACCATTGCTACAATATTTTAATATCAAAACATTTTTGCCGACTCTGATTTGATACATTTAGTGAAAATATTGCCAGTGAAGGTTAGTAAAACGGCAATTCTCGCGTTATCAATATTGACACTATTTTGACGAATTGATGAATTCAAGGTTTTATTTTTCATTTACAATTATATCTTCTTGTAAAAGTTTTTAAAGAAGGTTTAAAGTTTTCAAAATCGTCCTTTTTTGGACGTAGAGACTAGAGAGTCCACGAAAAAAAAGCATAAACTACTAGTTAGTAAATCCCTTGTGGCTTTGATAAAAAAGATGTAATAGATGAACAAAACTACCAGTTACACATCTTCATTAATCTGGTAATAAAATGCATCGAGCAATAGTAAACACGGATCCCTAGCGGGATTTACCAAAAAGAGGTCAGATTCTTAGGAGGAGTAATTAAGTATCCCCATATCGGCCTGTCACTCCCACTCTGTGTCCCAGATACATAAACAGGAAATTGGAGTAACTGGTAGTCAACTGGTATAAAAGACGAAAGTCATGAACGGATCCATGCGGCTATAGGATATTATTCAGTAATTTGTAAACGATATCATGATAACGACTATGCAATTTGCAAAATTTAAAAGCTAAATGTAAACTTAACGAAATTGTTGAAATCCTTTAAATATAACATCAACTAATTTCTTAGTATCCCGACTCTGTTTTAGAATTAATCTTATTTTCTAATTGCTAAAAAGTTGAACAGATAATAATAATAATAAAATTGAAAAGGGAAAGAAACACTTGACTACAGGCACTTATAAAAATAGGTGACGGGTGACTCAACTCCAGATTTAAAAAGAAAAAAAAAAAAGAAAGGCAGTGGGTCCATACACCAAGGGCAAGGGGGCTGTGTACTTGACACTGAAGAACTAAAAAACATTTATTCATTTGTAATCAACGGGGGAGAAACAGGAAATGAATCAGAGAGGGGATTTAAACCCTGGTCCCTGAATCATTAGTCAGGTGTTCTGCAAACTAATAAGCTTATTGGCTACCAGCGATTCACACACATGCACGCATTTGATCAATTGAATTTCCCGCGATATTGCCACTTGGTTGCTACGAGAGTTCTCTAACTTGGCGGTGCTCTCTAATGTCCAAAATATTAACAAAGTTTGGCACACAAGGAGCAAATATACGTTTGTCTTGAAAATTGCAGATAAAAATCGTTTTCTTCGTTCACTTTAAAAGTTAATGTCCGTTGTGCGTCATTTCAGTTTGGCTCAACGCTAAAACTCTCACGTCAAACATAGCAACACGGCCATCTTTATTTTATTTACATCATGGCGGATATTGAATGACAACAAAAAACAGGTATTAAACCGAAGCAATCCACACTCTATCTCCAGAGTGTTATTTGTTCTACATTTTAAATATATTTTACTAGTTAAATACATATAATAAATATAGTTATATTGTCTTCGTTCTTCGGTGAATATCCTTGTCGAAAGTTTAATTATTTTGGGATGTTTTTAAAATACAGTTTGGGCAGTAGTGGCGAATATGTCAGCATTTCCACATAGTTTTTATCTTTTGGAACCCTATTGATATGTGTTTACTGTAGACAAGCATGTAATTGTTCTTTAGATATGAACTTTACTTTGATTTTATTGCCATAGATTAGATGATATGAGTATTAACAGGTTGGGCACAGTTCCTTTTTCGGGGAAGTATTACTACAAAAGGGAACTATTACTCTTTTCAGTAATAAAAACATTACTCAATTGGGGAATTTTTGTCACATTTTTTAATAATGCCTCTAATCCACTCATTAAATAAAAAGTGCATAAAAAATACAGTGTGATGTATTTTATCTTTATCAAACAAACCTCGCTGACTGAAAAATTCGGACCTCCATTGCTGCAGACAAGAGTAAAATGAGATTTAATAATTTTCCCTGTTGATAATGGTACCAAAAGTATGGAATCTAATACGGACATTCATTCCAGGACAATTTTAAAAGAATGTCGTTTGAAATTTAATATTTCAAATAATTATTTTCATCTGTAAAAGAAGCAATGATATTTAAAATTATTATTACGATTTCATTTAAAGAAATAGTATTAAATTAAATTAGAACGAATAATCTCATGAACGAATAAGCAAGTGCTGAACGTATCCATTATCACAATTTTAACACAGGTAAGGTACCGTAAGAAATCTATTAGCATAGATATATTTCATCACTCTTTTTCAGCTTTTTGCAGCAATAAATATTGCAGTTTTGAGCACACATACACGTAATAGACAATAAATATTTAGAGGATGTGAAAATATTCTTGCACTTTATCTTTTATTTAAAACAAACACAAGAATAGAGGCTAAATGAGTAAAAATTCCCGAATTCAGTAATGTTTTTATTGCTGAAAAGAGTAATAGTTCCCTTTTACAGTAATACTTCCCCAAAAAAGGAACTGTGCCCAACCTGATTAATTCACAATTATTTTGTTCATTTCTTCAGAGATGCTCTATCTTGATACAGATTAGTGGTGCATATTTTTAGATTTACAGTAATAACTGGTATTTTGTGTTGATAATTACACGAAAAATCAATAGTGTCAATATGTCTCGTTTCCTTTTTTCAGCCATGCCATCAGTGGTTGAAGTAAGCCAGCCAGTGGCTGTACCAACATCCATACAGCCTGTAAAACAGTATTTACCTCAAGTGACACAGTTATCAACTGCAGAAAAGACTAATTATCATGGCATTGAAGTGATAAATGAAATCGTCTGGCAAGGATGGGAGCCAGGAAGAGAATACACCAAGAATATTGTTTTAAAGAATGTGAATGTAAAAACACAGAAAATAAAGTACAAGTATGTTGTTAATTCCAAATATACTACTTTAAATCTAGAGCACTAAAATCATTAAGGAAATGTATTTTATAGAATTAAGACAAATTAAGTGCTTTTGAACATGCCTTTGAATTTTATTTACAGAGTACCAAGTACTAGATTTTTCTCAACATTGTATCCAAAGCCTCTTGTGCTTAGTGCAGGAACCAGTTTCTCACTGCCTGTTACATTCAGACCTCTCGAAAAAGTGGTTTATAATGATAAAATAGAATTTCACTTAAAAGTAAGTATTTACTTGTTGTCTCAGAAATGCATGTTATTTTGAACAAAATAATAATAACAGAGTGCGAAGAAAAAGTGAATTTTTGAAATCCAACCCGACTTCTGTCAAATGTGAAGGAACCTATTTTAAATAAGTTTTATTGAATGTAACAGGATGGATCATTTGAAGTTCCAATCAGAGCGGTGCTTCCACAGGTTGATATCTCAGTTCCAGATTTCTTGGATTTTAACATGTGTGCTGCCAAAGATGTGGTTCACACAACATTTGAAGTCAGGAATACGGGGTAGGCATAGGTTCTTTTCAATTTTTTTAATTCAAGATTTTAAAAAATACATTTACATAGGACCTAGAATCACTTAAAAGCTCATTTTTCAATGTCTATTTTCTATTTTTGTTGAAGGGATTTGGAAACAAAGATTGAATGGGAAATTAAGTCACCATTTACAATAGAACCCAGTGCTGCAATCCTAAAATCTGGTTCTGTCAGACATTTCAAGGCAACATTTACACCAATTGTAAGTTACTGGATTACACATAGATATATATCTGAGGCCTGATCGCCAAAATTCCTTATATCTCCAAAAGGAATCTTCACGAGCACTCGCTCTATTGAACGGGTCTCTGAACTTATTTAACCTATTTCATGTATTTTTAAGGGAATTAGACATTGAAATTAATTTTTACTGTTTAACACAAAATTCAAAATATAAAAAAATGTCAAGTGTAAGCTAGCACATTTCATAAAAAATATTTATGAAAAACATGACGACAATCTGTTTAACATTGTCACATTATTTTACAGACCGCCTGTGTTTATCAAGGAGAGGCAGTATGTAAATATGGACCGGAACTCACACATGGAAAAGTAACAAAACTGGAAGGAATAGGTATGCCATCAGCAAACTGTCTTATAATAAAAGAAACCAAAAACTTTTGTTGGAAAATGTTCCCTTTTGTAACACATTTGATGTACTCTTTAAACAGGAAAATATCCACACATTTTGGTCTCTGCGCTTGGAAAGCCTTCTAGCAGTCTGAACTCTTCAAACCAAGAAGAAGAGATAAAATTTTCCTCTACTCCTGTTGGATCTACTGTACAGAAATGGGTGGAACTCCATAATTTAGCCCCTGTAAGATTTTGTAGAACAAGCAAGATTATTGAATCTGTATTTTTCAAATACTTTGTATGGAGTGTGATAATTACATCAAAGAGAAAATATTCCTTGTTGAAATCCTTGTAGAAATGACTGTAGCTTGTGACTATATATGTGTATAAATTAAATATGCTATTTTTTTTTACTTAAATATACAGGTTCGTGCTCCATACAAGGTACAGCATCCCTCCAAAATGAGCCGCATCGACACTGTGTTTGCCTGCCCACAAGACGAGGGGATTGTCCCACCCATGAGCTCAGTCCGCATCCCAGTAAGAATTTTGGTTTGATTTACTCATAGCAGTGTGGTTCCTGACATATAAAAAATTTTGCTTTAAATTCAAAGCTGCAACTATTTTGTGTGTTTGTTTATATAGGTAACATACAGTCCAAACACAGTAGACACCACCTCTACTGATTACTTCAATGTTGTTACTATTGGAAATATCAGCAAAGCAGTCATCAAATGTGTTGGATCTTCTAAAGGTACGTGTACAATTGATATGGTATATCTGCATAAAAGTCAAAATCAACATATGATTAACTAATAAGAGCATAGTGAAATTGCATGCTAAAATGCTGTCTTAAGAAATATGTGTGATTAACATTCGTTGTCTGAAGACAACAATCAATGAAAACGAATCTTTCTTTGCAGGTCCTACAGTTCATCTTGGAGCAAAGAATGTCAATTTCATGCAGATAGATCTGGGAGCTGTGGCCACTAGGACAGTGGATATCATCAATAGTTCAGATATAGAGGCCACATTTCAGGTAAGGTCAACTGACAATGTTCTGTCTGAGGTTCAAGTATTCTCGTCTTCTGAGGGATAAAAGACTTGCTTCTGTTTATGCTGTTTATCAGACTCTCTCTGTGTCTGATTCCACAAAAAAAAATTTGCAGGTTTCAATGTTAGTTTGTGGAAACTAGAATAATCAAGTTGTTCATTTGAATCTGTGAACAAATTCAAATGAACACTACTTGTTGACTGATATAGAAATGCGTGCATATTTAAATACATTTATATTATATCTCACTGTATTTGTTTCTTTGTAGTTTATGCTGGACTGTAATGAAAGTGTGTTTAAGCTTGAGAAGACATCAGGAGTGATACGACCCAACACAACAGTGACAGTCGTTATGAAGTTTGTCCCCCAGCATCCCATCAACTACTACAGGAGGGTCACTTGTATGATTCACAACCAGGTATGAACTTATGCTGTGAATAATTTTTTTTTTGTTGCCAGAACCAGTATTATTTAAATGCTTATGAAATACCATAACTAAACTTGTTGGGACAGTGCATATAGAAATACATACAGTACTAGAAATTTACAGAGATAATGGTCAAGTGACGATATTTTTCAGGTTTTCAGGAAATTATACATCTAACTGAAAGTTAACGAATGTTTGTTTTCTTTTGATTCAACAGGGTCCCTTGCTTTTGGACCTTCTCGGAACATGTCATGCAGAACTTGTCAAACCAGCAGTCCTGCTGTCCAGACATCTAGATAACTACAAGTGTCATGTAGAGAGAGGACTATCTGTCTATCCACCAGAGGTAAGTCATGTAGATAAACAAAAGTGTAATGGGCAGAACTGACTTTCTCTTTCTTCCAGAGAGAAAATGATGGGATCTGTGAAGTTAATGTACACTTGCACATATAAAGAGGCATACCTATGCTTATAATCAAAACATGTGAAGTGTAAAGAACTTTAAATTCTTGATACAAATGTTAGATTTTAGATTTAAAAAAAAAAAGGAATCATATTATAGATACAGATGAATAGAGGCATAATAATTAATTAAATTAATTAATAAGCATTAATTAAAAAAATAAATTAACAATTAAATCCTTAATGACAGTTGTGTATTTATTTCTTTGCAGCAACTAAATGAGAGCTTAAAAACAGGAAAACTGGAGTTAGATGATGCTGGATGTCTGATGATTCCTGAGGTAGGTTTTTATTATCAAAGAAATGGACTAGCTTTTTTTAATTTATAAAAAAACCCAACAAATTAACAACAAATGGATATGTTTAGAATTTGTGATTAAATAGCAATGCTTTTACTGTACAACTGCTGAAAAACAGTAATGTTTATATGTCATTAATTGCCACAACATTATATGAGGGGAAACTCAGTTATTACGACATAGTAAAACATTTTAAAAAAGTTTTTGTCTTGTGTTAAGCCCAGGGTAAATATTTTTAATGTTTACTGTGACAGGTGAATTTCATCCAAATTGTCTTACCAGACGATGATGCTAGGAATATGGTGATATGTGAAATGATTTGTTTTACTTCAGTTTTTTTAATGAAGTTTTATTGTTACACATTTGGTTCTTTTTTTACTTTATAAACATTGCCAGTTATTCTTCCTGATATGAACAGAATGAAAATGATTATTTTTAAAAAGAATGGAACAATAAAATTATCATTATCATGTTTTGCATGCATTAAAAAGCTTTTATTGTAAAATATAAATGGAATGAAATTCAATTTAATAGATAATGCACCTCTTTGTAAGTGAGGAGCTGCAACTTAAAATGTCCTCTTATCATAAAACTTTATAACTAAACCTGAGAAAATGTATATTTATAATTGTCATTTGATTTATTTATAGAAATCCGAGACAGACACTGAGCCTACACTTTCTGTTGTTCCTCCAATGGATGAGTACTTCAACGATGGCTTTCACTGTGATATCAATGTAAGTCAGCAGCTCTCTCTTTCAAACTGTAGGAACTATCAAATATCTTTCAGAAATCTTATGCATTTACAATGCAGATGATCGGTTGGTGTGAGAAATTATATTTGATTTGTTTTTCACAGAGTTCTGTTCCACATGTCAGCATAGACACAAACATTGCAGACTTCGGACAGTGTTCCAACATGAGAACTATAGAAGATAAGGTTAGTTTCTCAGATGATTTTCTTCTACATTTGATACTTCTTTTAAAAAAAAAATATGTACCAAGTCATAGCTCTTTAAATTTATTACAGAGTGGGTTATTTTATCGACCAAAAAAAATGTTATTTCCTTATTTAAATTCGTAGTAACTGTAATTTGAAAGAAATATATACAGAAATTCAAATGAAGTGTGAAGTATTAAATAATGATATACATGTATACTGTACTGTATGTACACATTAAGTAATATATGGTATCAATTTAGACTGAATGATCTCCCTCTTATTGCAGATAATCAATGTAACAAATCACACGTACGGCAAGGTGACCATTCAGTGGAATTGTGGGAATGATAAAACATTTTCTGTCATGCCAGCAACTATGGACATCCCTCCTCTAAAGTCCTGTGCTTTCCAAATCACCTTCAAACCTGTAAGAAAAAAAAACCCTTATGTATTTATCACTATTTATAAAGATACTTGCACTAAGTTTTGCAGATATGTTTCCACGGGTTGATATCAAACTTGTAGAGTGTCAAAGAGAGAACATTTAAAATTTTTAAGTAAGTCTTGTTGATTTTAGACTGTCCCTAACCAGTTTTATGGAGCAGAACTGGAATGTTTTGCTTACTACAAGAGTTTAAGAGATTATCGTTTGGTGGAGGATAACACTCACTGCCCCCCTTGGTGCCTCACTCTCACCTGCACAGGTAATTAGTTGACAATACATTACTATTTTTTTTTTGGGGGGGGGGGGGATTCTAGTTCTGCTTATCCTTAGTGCTGGATTAAAATACATGTAAATTGATAATAGACATTTAGAGTAGGGGTAGCTTTGTAAACATTTTTTTGTGAAATTGTTAAGGAATGTGTAATACATTCAATCTTTTTTAAAACTTTAAAAATTTGATTATTAAACAGGTCAAACATTCCAGCCAAACAATGAGACGTTCCTGCCACGTTTGTGTTTCGACACGACACGTCTTGTTTTCCCTGCGGTAAACACTAAAGAATCCACCTACAGAACTCTGCTGTTGACCAACAATGGCACCACACCCATACTGTTTGACATTCAGAAAGATCCCTCAAAGTAAGTCTGTGGGCCAGTTTGACAATATTCTTGAAAAAAATAATCAGTATCTTGTATATGAAGAATCTGATTTGATATGATTCTTTCAGTACGTATACTGTAAAACCAAGCAAAGCTTTGCTGAAAGGACAGCAGCAGGTGTTTGTGGTCAAGATAACCCCCAATGAAGTGAAGCACTATAAGCATGACCTGACCTTCAGACTCAACGATGATGAAAAATACAACAAGGTACGGCACCTGTCCACTTAGATTATCTGAGTTCAGTTTTATGGGTATTCTACTAGTCTTAGTACATGTAATAATAATCACCTTTACTTTTATTAGAATATTGTTAGTATACATGAACACCCATGGCTTTTATGCCAAAGTAATTGGCTGTGCTATTTATTTCCATTTGGATTGTGTTTCAGTGTGTTGAGTTATGGGGCTCAGCAGAATCACCTGAAGTTGTACTGGATACAGAGGGAGTTATGTACTTCAAGCAGACCTGTATTGGAACCTCCTCTACTAAAGACTACACCATCAAAAACATATCTAGAATACCACTCAGGTACAGAGTGTAATAGGAAATGACAGTTTATCACTGTAAATCAATATGCAAAACATATCATTCATCAGGGGTCATATTCTCATACCGATTTATTTCATGTGTTACTACTATTATTATAAAATACTTTTATATGTATGTTTAGATTTGAATGGAAAATGGTGCACAAGGACAAGCAACTGTTGTCAGTCACTCCATCTTCAGGCATTATTCAGCCCAATGAATCACAGGTAAAATAAACAAGGATCAAAAAGTATCATTCTGATTATCTGTTTTTCTTCCCCATTTTTAAGGCTTTGTGTATTTATAGTAATTCCCTATTTTTACCTGTACAGGCCCACAGGTGGTCGTTTGTACCTGCAGCTGAGGAGAAGTATGTTATGAAGCCCTATCTGATAGTCTGGGGCCAGGGATTCCACAGTTCCTCATCAGGAGGCAAGAAAAAGCAGTTCACGGTCCGCGCCATAGGGGAAGGCTCCATTGGAGACATCAAGGTAGCTCTCTTCTGATGGGAATGGATAAATATAATTTTATAACCATAATGCACATGTTATTTGAGGATGTAGGACTTTGTTAAACTGAAAGATTTTTTTCTACATAGGGAATTGTCTAAGTGTAGGAATAATTTTTGTACAGATTTTCTTGAAGTGGTATTGATTTAAAAACTTTTGAGTTAAATTAAGGTCTTTTGTTTATTTTAAGGCTGATAACACGTACATTGACTTTGGTGATGTGGTGGTGGGAAGCTCCACCTCTAAGATGATCAGCATTGTCAATAACAGTACCTGTAGTCTCCATTACTGCCTGATTGTCGACCAGACAATGGATGGACCATACCCAGAGGAAATCACTAAGGATGACAAACTTGGTAAATCATTACAATACAGCAAAACTCGTTTAGTATGAACACAGATATTGCAAATTCCCAGATATAGCAAAGTTATTATGGATCCCCTGCTATATAAATTTAACTAATTCCTTGTATGAATATAAGGAATTATGGATATAACGAAGTAATTTCAAAGGTCCAAGTGACTTCCTTATATCCGAGTTTTACTGTATCTTGACTATGATAATAAAGAACACAAATATGCCCCTTTCAAAAAAAGTTTTTATTTTTTTTTGGTATAATTTTAGATATTTCATATTTGCTATAAGCATAATAGAAACTGTTATAAACCCCCAATGAGTCCTAAATATTGAATTTTGAAATCTTTTTTAAATGGTTGTGGAAACTTTTGTTGACCTTTGTTTTGATTTTGTAGCCTTGATTCTGGACAGAACAGAGGGAGTGCTACCTGCCAGGTCTAGACATAAGATCCTGGCTACAGTCAAACCAATCAGGAGAGTCAACTATCAGTTTGCCATCTCCTACAAACTTGTCACCCCACAAGGTAAAAATATGTCAATTTACAAGGCTTGCATGACTAAATAATAATAAAAAATTCAAAATTAATTCTCAAATATGAATTTAAATTTTTAGATTCTCAGGTAAATCATTGCATTTTAAGTATCAGATATATATTGGTCATATTTTGTAGCATGTACAAATAAAAACTTCATAGAATCTAAATGCTTGTTATTTTGGTACAGGTCAAGTGGTAGATTCCAAGTTGCAGGAGCCTCAGCATTTGTGTCACATACTGACTACAGGCGTGTTCCCAGTGATGGCCGTCACTGATGCTCGATGTTACGGCAGTGCAGTAGGCATCAGTAAAAAACAACTCTGGTCACTCTTCTCACTGGACAAGTATGTACACCACTTACAAACATTAACATGGTGTTGATTGTTTTTATTAAGTAGCAGTTTGACAACTGCTCTACTCTCAGATTGAAGTAAAATTTTTCTGATATATAATTTTAAAATCACTTTCAGTTTGAACTTGTGCCTGGATTCTGATCCTTCTGCAGAAGAACTTAGATACAGTGTTGCCACAAGACACAGGTAAATGGGATAAATATTTGATTGATTTTTCAAGAATGATGGTTGATTATAAAGTAGAAAAAAAACTTGAAATCTTTGAAAAATTCTCAATTCTTGCAGAGTTTAAAAATTTTGATTTCCTTTTGCACAGTCATGCTAGAAGACCTCCAGTGTACACTAGAGCCATCATGGACTTCAACTTTAGTGCTGCCCCACTGGATAGTGAGCCGTGTGTTGTAAACCTGATGTTTGAAAACACTGGAACAGTGGCCACTGAATGGTAATCAGAATTTTTATTTAGTGAAAATTTCCTTGAAAAAAAGAATTATAAGACAAATAGTTCCAGAAATTCACAGATACTTTTGTGTAAATTGAGTTTTCAGTTTATTTTTTCTATTGAAGGTCCTTCCTGTTCCCATGTGATCTTCAACTTGAGCTGGAATACTGGGCAGAAACTGGAGAGTTTGATGAGGATGAACTTCATGAGGTATGCTCTCTCCATATCTAATGAGGATCCTTGTTTTAAAGCATTTTCTACACTATTCTCTGATGTCCTTTAAAATTAATTATAATTTTGGTTATAGATGAAGGTGATGGACAACAAGCTTTTTGCCATTGAGCCTCAGCAAGGTAAACTGGAACCTGGCGAGTGTAAGACGGTGACCTTCACCTACAGACACACCATTGCAGGGACAGACAGACTTCCTGTTCTCCTCAAACTGGCCAGGGGCAGAGAAATACTGGTAAGAGCAACTTGTTTGACCAAAAATATGAAATAAAATAATTATAAGTATTAAAAGGACTGAATTAATTTGTGAGCAAAACAAACATAGGTACAAACACATAAACTATTTATTAGGGGTGAAACGATACGCCTCCTTCACGGTTCGATACATATCGAAAAATTTGGTCTCGGTTCGGTTATTTTCGATACGATACATTTTGATAGAAGGAAACAGATTCAATGTTGTTTTATGCTACCTTTTACTTAATCTAGTAAAATAATTTATGTACAAAATGGATAGAATGTATCAATTTAATTGATTTGACTGTTAAAAACTATTTTATAAACTTCAAGTCCACACAAACTTACGTTTCTGAACTAATTATACAGAAAAGCATGTTTGTACCTTATGCCAAACCCAACTGAATGACGATCCCGACCGAAAAACGAACCGAAAGTAGAGATTTTGCACCGTGTATCGAACCGTGAAAAAATACCGCGGTGAACCGATACCGCGGTGAACCGTTTCACTCCTACTATTTATATTGCATTTTGAACATCAATATAGAGATTGTAAGATTCAAATTGTTTTTTTCTCCATTTTTTCAGCTGAATTTCATTGGAGTTACTGTGGAACCAGAGAGGAAATACATCCACTTCCCGTCCAACAAACACATGTTTACACCTGTTGCTGTCGGTGAAAAAGTCAGTCCTAAACAGGTGTATGAGTTATATAATGGTGGAGCTACACCCGTCAGGTTCAACTTTGACCTGGCCCCTCTAGAACTCCTACGCCAGGTAAAAACCCAATTCATTATTGTAAAACATGTACTTAATTACAGAAAGGTTAATTTGTTAAACACTTACTGTAAAAAGAATCTTTATTTAAAATTTGTTGCTGATTTAATTTTGTAGCATAGATTAATTAAAATTTTGTTACATTTTTCCCAGGAGAACTTTGACCAGCCCATCTTTGAGTGTCTGACACCCATTGGAGAAATTCCACCAGGCAGATCTTACTCCGTGGAATGGAGATTCTCTCCAATTGAGGCCAAGACATACATGGTATATTTCTTTATTTAAAGATTTTAAGTTCATTTATGTAATTGAAAAAAATTAAAAACTGTTTTTCTGACTAAATATGGCTCATTGTAGATTGATGTTCCAGTCCATGTTCACAATGGAGACACGGCCATTGTGACATTTACTGGTGTGGGCTTTGACAGACGGGTGATGGGGGATACCATGCCAATCACAGACCAGCAGGATATGACAGGAGTCCCGGGGGTCCAGAGTGTGTCTGTTCCAGGACAGGTAAAGATTTAGATTTATTAAAGTCATATCTTCTCAACAGAAAAAATCCAGTACTTCTATATCAAGCATAGTGAAAAATATGACAAACACCAACAGTTGTATACCTTAGACGAGTGATAAGATTAAGAAATGTTGAGGTTAACAAAATACAAATGTATAATAGAACTTATAAGGTAAAGTAACAACATTGGATTATGAATATGAAGGTCCTCCTCAATGGGAAAAAGCCACTAATATATCTCAATTTCTGATGCCTATTTCAGCTGATGTACCTATCACAAGAGAGACTGTCCTTTGGAAATCTGCCCCTATTCAGTCGAGCCAGGAGGATGGTGTTTGTTACAAACAAGGCTAAGGATCGGGATGTTTCATTTGAGTGGCATGTCACTTCACAAGCTGATGCCCAGGTATATTTTTCAACATCTTCAATACTATGTCCTACTCAGTGTGTGCTAGAATATTTTCTTTATTTTGTTTTTTGTGATGTCATGTTTAAGTTTATTATGTTTTTTATGCACATTTTAAACTTTGCTTTCAGTCAGTTATAGATGTAAGTGTTTTCACTGTTTATGTAGCTTGTGAAGCTGTAGAGGTATTCATCTTAAGGTTGCTTTAGAACTGTGTAGCTGAACACAAAAGATGCTTCACTTGAAGATTTAGATAGCTGTTGAAAAATCTTTAATAATTGATCTAAAGATGATTTATATCAATTATTTATGTTTTATTTTTCTTATAAAGATTAATAAGGTAAACTTTCTTATTGTTTGGTCATTTTTATGTACTGTATAAGTGGAATTTTTAGTGAGACACTGATTTGCATTTTTCTTTAAAAACCAGTGTATGTTTTTAGTGAGAAATTATAGCCATTTTTTATTGCCAAGAAAGTTAGCCCTTATATAAAAAACAAAACAAATTTTTATGAAGGAATATATATTTAATTTGGTCTCCAGTTTCAAGCTAATATCACTAAAAATTCTGCTTATGCTGCATTAGCATTATTTTGCAGGTTTCTTTGAAAAAGTTCTTTCTTTCTATTTGTTCTGTTATTTCTTTACTTTACATTTCTTTTAGAGAGAACGTAAGGGTGTGTTTTAGGGATAGTATTTTAACTGTCATTTTTTTTTAACATGGTATGAAAGTAAAAGAAATAGCCTCTAGAAACAAAGTTAGTTTGCTTAACAGCCAAGATTCTTAATGGCTTAGTTAGTAATTTATTTCATAATTAAATCTCGCCTTCTATACTGATAACATATCTGATTTTCTGCAGTACCTGTCAATCTCCCCAGTGAGAGGTAGACTGTCCCCCGGGGAGAGCCGTATGTGCCGGGTTGTCTTCATCGCCTGTGGAGTCCCATCCTTCTATGACCTGGATCTGGTTTGTGAAGTAAGTCTTTCACATACGATTTAAAAGATTTGAATTTTGATCCATATGCACAGCATAGGAAATCTCAGGTATGCAATTAGCTTTCTTTATTTTCCAACTCATAACAATTCTTCTCAGTTGCAAATTTTGAGATTTGTATTAGCCACATTTCTCTTTTTACAAGAGTATGTTTCTTATTCATTTTTATAGAAGATATCCCATGTTGAATTTTTATTAAATGTAGGCTACTGATGAACTAGAGATGGACAAATATAAGAAGGAACTGGCTGCATGGGAGAAAGAAAAATACAGACAGAAGTATGAGTTCTGTATCACTGAGAATGATCTGGATGCTGACCAGAGGCTCTCAGACAATGTGGAAATTGTGGTAGGCATTGTGATAATAGGGAATATTACAATTTCATTCTCTAACATTACTTCTCCAGAGCTAAAGAAAAGAAAGTAATTGGATTTGCATGACAGGAACATTTCTGTGATTTTTGCAGGAACGATCCTCAAGTCGCCTCAAGTCTATGGAGGAGAAAAAGATGGAAGTAGAAGGAGAACTCACTAAATACAAGGTAACTTCATTTAATACAAAATTATGCCCCGTTTTATAAAGTAACTTGTGACTGTGTTAAGTTGCAGTATGTATCCTGCAAAGTTTGATTTCTTGTTAATTTTGTAGACACTTCCACCAATAAAACAGCTGTCTCCTGACGAAAGGAAAGTTCTGGAGTCCAGGAAGAAGAAGAAGGAGAATGAGTTATGGGAGAAACCCTCACCCCCAGTCCCCTTTCTCTTACACCTGGGGCTGACCGCCAGGACCCACGACATCAGGGAGTTCCAGTCCACATTCCCCGAGGAGTACAGGAACTTCTTCATTGACAGGTCAGTAAATGACACATAAATTAAACCGAGTAGGAATGTAACAGTTATTTCCCTTCTATCAGTAACATTTTTACTATATATTTTAGGTCAATGAGTGAGAGAGTAAGCAAGAGTGCTGGTAGAAAGCAGGCCTTAGTTGAGAGTACCTCTACTATTATACCCTGCAGTACTGGAGAGGCAGATGTCATATCAGGGGTTCTCAGCAATGTTCTGAGGTAATTATAAATTTTGTAGAATTTGATAACACTTTGTAGAAACAGGAATAAAAAAAATATTTAAAAGGTCCATTCAAAGAGTTCTGAATGGAATACACAGCCAAATGTCTGCATTTAAAGTAACAATTGTTTAATATACATTTTTTAGAGGTTTATTAGATGACACCTTTTTCCATGAAGCTGTTAAAAAAGTCATCAATGATGACATTCCATTGTATGCTCAAATTGGAGAGAGACCCGCCACAGCCCCACCGGTAGAAATGAGGGCGGGGCCCAGCGGGAAGACCAAGTCGACCCAGGAGGATTCCCCCCGGGAGGATGTCAGTCGTGTGTCCTCTGCCACACTTCCTGTCTCTCCTGAGGCCACGCCCCCTTCATCAGCTGGCAGTAAAAAGAGTCAGAAGAGTGAAAAGAAGGTCAGCTGCACTCATTTCCTTCAATTGTATTCATATCTCTAGACTAAATCAGCTGGTACTTGTTCTAATCATACCCTTTTAAAAATTTTTGATTGTATCAATGTAGGGTAATTTTATTTAAGAGTTCTTAATGTTTTTTGTATTTTTTTTGAAGGATCTTACCTATTATAAAAAAAATTTAAATAATTATTTCAAATACAATTTTTTTTTAGAAGTCAAGAAAATCAAAGACCCCAGTAAAACACACAGTTGAAGAAGTGGAAAAAGTAAAGAAAGAAGGAGAAAAAATAAAGGAAAAACAAAATGTCAAAAAGTTTGTAGTTTTCAGACTTCTTGATAAAATATTGTTTTATGAAAAGATAAATATCTTAATGAAATTGAATTTAAGCATGTGTATAAACTTTTGGCAGCCAAAAACTTCAATATACACTGTAGCTGATTGACAGATCTATTCAGAATTAGATTTATGATGTTTTGTGGTAAGTAATGTGATATATCTATTTTGTAGGGTACCCGAGTTTGGCAATGCTGCAGAATCAATAATCGAGAACACGCTGCTGAACATCGTAACAGAGGCATTATCTGAGGAATTCAGCATTACTGCTCGACCACGATTTATCGCTTTACCCAAGAGAACAGCATCAGCCAAAAGCAGACAGTCCAACCAAAACAATGCCAAGAAAAACTAAGTTATTAAATTATTCAGCATAATGCTGTGTATTTAAAAAAACAAACAGTTTGCACCATTGATCTGTAACACTGTACTGAAACTTTAAAATATGTGTTGCTTGACTTTTTTTATGAGGAAAGCTTGGATTTTTTTTTTGAGTGAAAGATAAAAAAGCATTTACATATATTGTTTAATTTAAGATTTTATATTTACTGTATGAATACCTGAATATACTTTAAAAAGTTTTGAGGAAAACAAGTTAAGAGAACTTCTCAGAAAAAATGTGATATTTTTATAATAATGTTTTGTTGTACTCTTGTTGAATTTGTATTTATGTATCTCTGTGTCTCTGCTCCGTCCATTGGCAAATTAGTTTCAATAAACATGTGATACCTTTTTTGCTGCTTCCTTCTTTGCTTTTGCAAGGTACTAGTTGAAATTTCATCTTTTGAAAAAGAGGAAATAGGACAGGCATTTTTAACATGAGCATTGCCTGTGACAAGGTTTCTGAAATTGCTTTGATTTTATTAACTTCTTGATCTTGAATTAGGAGTTATTTCATAGTTTTTTTTCACATTGGTGGTATTTATTGAATTAGAGTAGGTAAGGATTTCATATTTAATGTGCATTACCTATGACAAAACTTTTCTGAAAGTGCAATAATGATGTATGATCCTGTGACCTTGACCTTATTTTAAACAAGAGGCCCACGGGCCCTATAGGTCATCTGTGTATCCCATAACAACTTTCCAACAATTGAATTTGATTTGTGTTTTAAGCCAGAGGCCATGAAATTCAAAATTTTAATTATTATCATAATTTTTTAGCATGCTTACATCAGAGTAACAAAGAGAAAATGCATTTATTGAATTCCACTGACCCTGGGGTATGGTGTAAGGATTTGCAAAATAGTGCATTCAGAAAAATATGCCATCGCACTAACACACAACACGCTGTCATGCTAACATGAGTTCGCACAAAACGCCATCGCGCTAACACACAACGCACTGTCATGAGTTTGCACAACACCCTGTCGCGCTAACACACAATGCACTGTCACCCTAACACGAGTTCACACAATACGCTGTTAGCTAACGCAAGTTCGCACAACGTCATGCTGAAACACACAACACGCTATCACGCTAACACAAGTTCGCACAACATGCTGTCATGCTAACACACAACACGCTGTCATGTTAACTTGAGTTCGCACAACACTCTGTCACACTAACACGAGTTTGCACAACACGCTGTCACGCGAATACGAGTTCACACAACACACTGTCGCACAAACACGCAATGCGCTTTCATGCTAACACGAGTGCACACAACACGCTGTCACACAAAGACGAGTTCGCAAAACACGCCATCGCGCTTACACACAACGTGCTGTCATGCTAACACAAGTTTGCACAACACGCTGTCACGCTAACGTGAGTTCACACAACATGCTGTCACCCTTACACGATTTCAAGCAACATGCCGTTGTGTTAACACACAACACACTGTCACACTTACACGAGTTTGCACAACACGCTGTCGCACTAACACACAATGTGCTATCATGCCAACACGAGTTCATGCAACACGCTGTCACGCAAAGGCGAGTTCGCAAAACACGCCGTCGCGCTTACACACAATGCGCTGTCATGCTAACACAAGTTTGCACAACACGCTGTCACGCTAACGCGATTTCAAGCAACACGCCGACACGCTAACACTCAACACGAGTTAGCACAACACGCTGCCACGCTTACGCGATTTCAAGCAACACGCCGACACGCTAACACTCAACACGCCAACACGAGTTCGCACAACACGCTGTCACGCTTACGCGATTTCAAGCAACATGCCGTTGCGAGTTTAAAGTTAGTGCGTCGGCGTGCTGTGCGAACTCGTGTTAGCGCGTTGTGTGTTAGCGCGACGGCGTGTTGTGCAAACTCGTGATAGCGTGACAGTGCGTTGTGTGTTAGTGACAGCGCGTTGTGCGAACTCGTGTTAGCGTGTTGTCTTTTAGCGCGACGGCGTGTTTCTCTGAACGCGCTGTTCAGCTTTTGCGAATAGTCTATCCGGACACCATACAAAAGTCTTTATATTTGCAATATTCCCTGCTTTGAGACACGTTTCCCATTAATGGTTTGTCGCCTGCGTGGTGCAGTGGTAAGAGCGTCTGCTCCAGAGAGATGATCCACATGTCGCGGGTTTGAATCCCACTGTGGGACGTGGAGACCGGTCCTATGGACGAAACCGTATAAACCGAGGTCCTGTGTTGCAGTAGGTGCCGGCACGAAAAAGATCCCTCGCTGCTCAATGGCAGTCAGTGCCGAAGTAAAGGAAAAAAATTGTTAGCTCTCCACCAGCAACTAATTAAAAATTCTCTAGAGGGACGTTAAACAACATACAAACAATCAATCCAAAGATGGTACTTAAAATTTATTGATGACACTAGAAATAGAGCAATGAAATGATTTATTTTGGATATCAGTTAAACCTTTATGATAAACTTAAACAAGTGAACTAGAAATCTAGAATTGATATAAAATTTTCTTCCTGTTCCAGCAGGGTACACTATTGAAACATACATCAGAAAAATATAGAGAATTCTTCATTCTTTGGATTAACTTGTATCACAATTTTGTTTTATTTCATTGCAATTGGCAAGTTGTGCAACTCCGCAACATCTTGTTCCCTCGAAGATCCGTCTTTCCTGTCGCTCTTCAGTTTGCCTCCGCCAATCATGACATGGTCGTCTGCCTTTCTGGTTTCTTTGTCCTCTGGAGGAGTTTTGCCCTCCTTACTGATTTCGTCCTCACCTAGACGTCTAGCCTCGGCAAGGTCCTCAGAGATTCTCATGTCCTTGGCGGCATTCCTCATTTTGATGAGCTTCCGGGACTTTGCAATTTGTTTGGCTTCATCCATAATATTCAACAGTTCTGTGTTAATAATGTAAATGCTTACGTAAAAAAAAAACATTGTTTGAATTCACAAGCAGCTAAAATTGCATAGAAATTTTTATAAATTTTGATTTTATTCACATGCCCTTTGAAAAATCCACCATTATCTCTTTGTACATCTATTGAGGGAGAATGATAAATATCATTCTACTAACAACTTTAACTAATACCTTCCTGACATCTTACTGATAACTTAGTGATTACTAATTACATGTAATATCTAACGAACAAATCTCTTGACTTATTGATTTCTTAAAGATAACTGATATAGTACTGAAAACCGATCTCACTGATAGCAAAGAACTGATACTGATATCTCACTGTTGCTAATATCTTACTACATGTAATAACTGATTCTATTACTCATATCTTTACAGATTTAGTTGTAAAAAAAAATGCAGAAAATAAATTAAACTTTCAGCTTAAAGCAATTTTTGGGGTGTGTAGGGTGTGGGGGAACTTTATTTAGCAATTCTATTTTTTAAACCACTTTACCTCTTAATGATATTTTTTCGTCCTTATTCCTGTCTCCGAGATTTATAAAGCTCTGAGCGGTCTCCGAGGCCTTTTTTATTGGAAACTTGACCACGGCCAGATAGAAGCGGAATATCTCGTCAAAGTCCAGCAAGCCATCTCTGTTCATGTCCCCGAACTCCAGCATGGCCGCCGTCAGGTACTCGTCGTCAAAGTTATTTACATCCTAAACGATAAAATGATAGTGCAAGTAAGTTGTCAAAGATTGATAAAGCTGCTGAAAACATTAAAATTCAATTCTAAGAAAGTGGTTGGATGCGTATAATTTTTCAGATTATAATATTCATATTTGTTTTGCCCCCCCCCCCCTATTTTTTTTTTCATTTTATACTTTAAATCTCAAAACTTTAATTTTACATTTAAATAAAAATTATACTGTTGAAAATGTTCATTGTAATTTGAAAGTCCCTTTTTTTTTCAAGTTTAGTCAAAATAATGATTGAAGAGAATTGGCTGTGAAAGAAGTCCCCCCCCCCCCTTACACACACACACACACACATACACGAAATTAGATTTTTAAATTTGAAGAAATTTCCTTTTCTTTGCTTTTTTCAATTCATTACAGATAATGTGATTTTTCGGCCCCCCCCCCCCCTTTCCCTTAATTTTCAAAAAGGATAAGTTACTTGCCTGCATGTACCTTCGTATAGAATTGTGAAAATAATCTATACAGTCATGTATTTTGCATTTTTTTCTTTGTACATGTATCTAACAGTAAGTCAAACATTTAGGTATCATGGGAAAAGGATTAAAAAAACACACACACTGTGTAAAAATAATTTTATCACCGCTCCAAGGGTATGAGGCCTTGTTCTTGAATAAGAAAGGCTTATTTTTTGGCATGAAAAATCAAAATTACGATCATTTTTCTAAGCCCTAAGGAGAAAAATGATTATCTAAGTATAAGCCCATAATACTTGTTTATTTCCAATATTCATCACAAAGAACTAGGTTCCTGTATGATCAAACAATTTTGACTAAAATTTAGATTTGAAATTGGCAATCAGCATTTTCCCCAAAGGATTACGTACCCGGTATTAGTAAAAAAAAAAAAGAGGTATAAAATTGTGTTTAAACAAAGAGTTAACTAAAATTATTGCAAAATTTATTAACATTGCATCATAAAGGCAAACTACTGTAACTATAAAGTTGTGATATTACACGGATTTTTATTGCTGAAAAATGCTTATTTTATATAATTATTTGAAAATAACAAAGTATTTAAAATCTGCTTACCATGCTCTTGCTGACTTTCGCTGAAAATTTTTCTGCATTTCTTGTGAATCCAGATTTGCTCATCTTTAATCCTTTTCCAGAACTTACATCCTCAGGTTTCGCAAGATTTTTAGATACACTGGCGGGTGCCGTAAAAACACGAATAAAGCATAGACAATAAAAAGAAATTAAATATAAGCATAAATGAAGGGTTTCCATTGCAAGTACTGATAATGTAGGACCAAATGAAAAACAAATCCGACACAAGAACAGCCAAAACGCTGAACAGAGTCCCGACACCCAGACACCCACGGAAAACTCTTAACACACGGCGCAATTACCTCCGATTGTAAGAACGCAGTATTCAATACAAATAAGGCATATATAGCAAATGTATAGATGAAGCCGTATGATTGATAATTCATATATTGCTGGAATTTCAATATCGATAAAAATTCGCGATCCACAGAGAAGGAAATAATCGACAAAATCAAGCCATCATTGGATCAATTCGTAAATGTTAAGCGGGGCTGCAATCTGGCAATTAAGAAAATTAAATTGAACAGACAAACTAGCTAAAATCCCCTGGGTAGCGGTCTCGGTCAAATCTACCATCAAATGGGCCCCGTTTGTTTCTGCAGCTTTATATTATGCCTTTATAGGAGAGGCACGCGTAATTGTAATCAGGAAAATTCTTAAAATTAATTAAGAGTGCATTTTGTAATAAATCTTGCCACACGAATTAAGAAACGAGTTTCTTGCTACTTTGAAAAAATAATTTGTCCATAGTTCTTTTCATCCAGCTTCATTTATTTCGTTTTATTAATTTTTGATACCATCGATCGATTTTTTACGGAACTTGAATACTTTAATAATACCTATTGTGCTGAAGATTAAAACCATGGACGAATGCAAAATAAAATCCCCAATGAAAAATTATATCGGGCGGATTAATAGGTGCAGGGAACAAGTCCTTTTGTTCTTTACTTGTAAGTTTTCCTGTTATGACTAACAAAAGGAACAGTGCTTCAACAATGATCAGCGATTACTAGTATGTTCCACCGATTAAGCATAAAAACGCATGCAACTTCACAACGAATAAAATTTCGCCTTTGTTTGGAACTTTCATTATTTTTTTCGTACATTACTCATATTTCAAATGTTTTTTATTGTCAATGTTTGTAGAAATCAATGTAATTTAATGAAGTGGAATGCCATTAGGGATGGATATATTACCTCTTTTTAAAGAATTCTATAAACCATTTGTCTAATTCAATAAAAAGCTGGGCTTCTAGAAAATTACCCAGAAACCTTGACAAGCATATTAAAAGTTCCAAATCTTTCAAAACCAAAATTTATGTGGTTCTTCATAACCCATGTCAGACTTTAATGCAACAAAAGTGGAGGGGGGGGGGCAACCAGACTTCCAATGAACATTTTCTAGAGTAAAGTTATGTATGAAAAATGGGGAGCCCCCCCCGTTGCTACGTGCATGAAAAATGAAACTATCAAAAGGTTCTCGTTTGTATTGTGTCGGTGACAACATGATGTTTAGTAATATGAATGACAATTCATAAACCATACATATTTTAAATATACAAGTCTATTCTAATGGAAGTTGCCATGGGTTATCTTTAGCAAACAATTTTAATAGAGGGTAGGTTGAATAATTTATGACCATTCGGCACTGTTCAACGTCCCAGTTCTTGCAATGGGTTGTTTTTCCCATGTCGATCACAAAAATACCATTTGACACAAATCATCTTTTATTATCACAGTTTGCATAGTAATTGAACACAAAATTGATTATATAAGTATGAAATTTTGCTTTGTTATTACAAAACCTTGAATATTAACAACAAAGCCGTTTGGTGTCTTCAAAATTGTTCAGACTCAACAACATGGCCGCTCCGATCAGCAAGAGCTTCTCTTGTGCCTTCAACTTCTTCAAAACTGAATGAAATAATACAAACAATTGCTGAAAATTTACATGTATTTTAGAATGAATATAAAACCGCAATTTTAAAAACATTAATTTTTATACAATACATTTTCATAAATATATTATCATGTATTTGATAAGGAAAGGTGAAATCAAAAAATCTTTTCTATTACAAAACTACTCACATTCAATATGAATTTTATTCTCAAGACCTATTAACTCCTCCGAATTATGGTAAGATTTCTTTATAAATTTGGCAACAATCTCACCCTCCACATCTTTAACCTGTAAAATGATAGCAATGGACCAGTTGTGCTTGTTAAGGTTCCAACACAATGTTCAAAAAAGGTTTCAAAACAAGAAAACAAAACAAGGAGTAATACTATAAATAACTTACATATACTGAGACGTTCATGAACCAACCACAGTACTGAGAGTAACAGCAGTCATTTGAGAAAGTAAACAAAACATCTTCTGTGCGATCTACAATTTCAAAACTCGGTCTACAGCATGTTCGTCTGAAAAAGTAAACACAACCATTTTACTACTTCGAACACGCACTTGATTTTTTTGTTGGACAAATTTTATAGAGTACTTTTATCGGAACATTGTATTGATACAATTTTCTACAGTATACTGTCTTCATGGTTCTCTGTCTGCCTGTTTCCCATGTTTCTCTAACTTCTGTCGCAAATGCCTGGTCTGGATCATAACTATTGAACCGTATTCGAATTGAAACTATTGAATCGTATTCGAATTGAAACGCTATTACAATGCCCACAGGCACCTTACGTTACTGATTTTTCTTTTAATAAAAAAATATACCCCTACCTAATACCCAACTTTAGGTCACATCTCAAAGTCACTGGGCAAGGTGATAATGAAATTGAGTTTGGGCCATAATATCACAGGCACTTGTTTCGTTCACGGGGTACCCCTACTTATTTTTACCACAAGGTACCTAACTCATTCTCAGGCAGACAGGCACCTCAACTTCAAGCTCGTATTTTGTTAATACCGGTATATCAATCATTAATCTACTTTAAAATGACATCGTTCGCTTCAAGAGACTTTTTTCTTATCAATTACATCTTTTCAGTCAAAAGAAAACTTGGTGTCATAACACCACATTTTTATTTATATAAAAAATTCTGGGTAGAAACTGTGGGAATCAAGTCAAAAGATATCTCAAAATATCTGAGAGATTTTTTATTTAAAAAAATCAAAACTTTCGCAACCTTTCTCTGACAGTTCCAATTCGAGAATGCGGATGAAACACCATGAGTTGAGGGAGAAAACAGGAGCAAATGCAGCACCCTCTAAAGCTGAGTTCTCGTCGAAATCTTCCTACGTCATTTCCGCTGGAGTCCTTTATACGGGTGGTAAGATCTCTTGCAGAACCAAGACACGAACGGAATAAGCAAACAAAGGCTATAGAAGAATAACATTTAAAGATACTTTCAGCTAATTCTAAGTTTAAAAGCGTAAATTTTAACCAATGACAACATAATGTGTAATGGCAAAGTAAGGCTATATAGTTTAAGTGTGTCTTAAATAGTTTGAAACTGTTTGCAATTTTTTGTTTTTTATGGAGTATATTTATTTTTTTATTAAAGCAGATGATTTCAATAAAGAAGTTAATTCTAAGTACAATTGGACAGTTTCTAGTGATTTGTTGAACTTCCTTTCATTATAAATATGATATTTTCTATATACAAACAAAAACAAGGCACGAGCCTTGATTACATTTTTAAGAACCTCAAGTTCTGTATCTCGTTTGTTAATCAATAAATGATGTTTAAATGTTTGCTGATCATTAGATGATGCCTTAGTTAGGAATTGTAAGCATTAAAATTTGTTTTAAAAAATCAATTGAAACCGTGTCCATGTTCCTTTAAGGCCATGAATACTTTTATCTGGTAAAAACTAAACAAGTTTTTTTATTTAAGAATCTTTAAATGGATGTCTTTTATGACAATAGCAATACAACATATAGAAAACATAAGTACCTTCTCTGATTTCAAGCAAGAATTCATTACTGTCGTTCCCATCATGTACAGTGTAAGCACCTCGACCAATACAACACGGACAAGCCACTGTGAACAGGAGTTGAAAATATATAACGATCAGTGACGATATTGCAAAATACCATCAATCTCGTATACATTCATTATACTTTTCAAACAGATAAAAGAAACTCGTAATACTATTATAGTGGTATAATACAAAATGTACAATATACACACGTCCACAAGCAGTTATCTCTTGACTTAGAATAATCCGGTCAAGATTCTCTATGGATTCCAGCCCAGTTTCATGTTCCATGTAATTCCTGCCATTCTCTCCCGGATTGAGTGTAGCAGACGGTTGTTTGGTTATGGTGGTACCTTCACTGGACACTTTATCATAAGACATGACAAAAGCATAACGCGGATATAACGTATGTCAACTATCAGTCAAACACGTTGTTTATAGGACTTCATTGTTTGACAACAAGGGGGAGATAACCCATATTTTAAACTCCGCCATATATCGATTCATGTAGTTGAATCTCTCGATTTTTGTATGACAATATTATAAAGTTTCTTTTATGTATCTGAAATTGCAGAAAATTATTTTTTTTTTACCTAAACATAACGCGGATAGAGAATGAAATGAATCAACTTAATCCAGCTCATACAAGAATTGTACTTTTTGTATTGACAAACACATCTGCTGATGCAAAAGATTTCTTAAAAATATCGAGTTTGATTTGAAACCATGTAGAGGTGATCAAGTGGGATCAGATGCCTAGAAGGGGTAAACAGTCTTTCAGGATTAGCCATTACTAATATTAATACATAATTTTGAAAATGTAGGATGGAAAAGATGTGATCCTGTCTGTTTTATATAAAGTTAAGTTTGGTTTGCTATCAACGACTTTAAAAGTCAGGATGGAAAAGATGAGATCCTGTCTGTTTTATATAGTTCAGTTGTTGGTTTGCTATCAACCTCTTAATTAAAGAGGCTGGGTGGTCGTGGCCATTTTTAGACTATTTTGATCTCCATTAGAAGAAGAGCTCCATATAAAGATAAATAAAATGATCAAATTTTAAAGCTTAAATTTATGAAATTTTTCTTTGACAAATGATAGTTGACAGCTTAGGATATCATATCCCAAAATTTGAGTTAAATCTGATGGTCAATTAAGAATTAATTAGTTGACCCACTAGCCTCCTTAAAAGTCAGTACATCCAAAGGAAGCAGATTTGGCAGACTCTGTGGTATCTTCAATAGCTTGGTGGAAGATCTGCCCACAAAGACTATACATGGATGTTGTTAATTAATAAGGAACTCCTGTTACTCCATCATCTTTTAAAATTAAACCTCAGAGCATGTAGAATCAGATTTCTGTAGACCATTGACAAGATATGAACATTTCCTATGATGACTTCGAATGACGGGATTCAAAAATTCAAAAATGACGTTCTGGCGCCATTTGAAAAAGACTTAAATAAAGAGCTATTGAATTAAATATTGCTTACAGGTGGAGATGTGCATTTCAAGATTATATTTATACCATTAGTAACAATTTCTCAGTGATATATAAAAGAAGAGGAAGACAGCTTGAATGCCGATGGGAACTTACTTTACTCTTTTATTAGCGGCCCAGTCATACATCTTCTCCTTTCCTGTTACAGATTTGGTGCCGCTGACCACTGCTGGACTTGCAGGTGAAAGTTCTGCCAGGGGCTAATAAGAACCTGGACTGTGTCTTCGAGGGCGAAGAAAATTCAAGGAGGGAGTAATGTAATGGTTTGGACCGTGGATATAGGCCTGGGAAGCTCTGTCGGCAGAGCACCTCACTAGTGGTGCAGGGGTCTCCGTAGTCGGAAATATCTGAAATTTTCCAAGCTTTTTCATGATTCTGATATTTTACCTGCCAGGAATATAAAATATCAAAATCGTAAACAAGAAACCACGGAAACCTTTAGATATTTCGGACTGGGCTCCCAGTTTCGATTCACGGTCCAGTCATACATTTTCCCATTTTCTGTTACAGATTTGGACTTGTTTTTAAATTTTTACGAAGCAGAATTTATTCAGAAACTTTTACACGAGAAGAAAACACTTCCATCATCTCGACACTTAGAGATACCGATTGTCAATTAACAATAGTTATTTCCATTAATTAATATATGGACCCAATTTATCCCGGTGAACTTCCCTGTCCATGCTAAGAAGATTTGAAATATGAATTCTAATATATGCTTTTTAAAAATAAAACATACATTTTTCAACTTGTATGAAAACTGTTTCTATTTCTAACCTAGTTGTAATATAGAAATTATTTTTAAAAGGTCAAACCCCATCCCGGTTTCTTTATTACTGAACACAAAGCAGGAAAAACATTTCGTAAGATAACAAGAAACCCTTTACACAGAAGCTCAATGTAGAAAGTAACTTTTTAACTCTTCCGTCTCGTATTAATTATTTTTCATTGATAAAAATATCGTTGTTGCTATTGGTATTTTTTTGCCACTGATTCTTAGCAAATTTTCATTTCTCCTAAAAACAAGGAACTGTAGTTGGTATTGATGAAATATGGAGATAAGAAATAATAATCACTTTCAAAAGTCCATTGAAGCAATAAAAAATGAAGGACCTCTAAAATTTTCATAAAATCTTCATATGTTGGATAAGGTGGTGCCATGGATGACTCTATGGACCTATAACACTTGTCATGATCAGACAAACGTAAAAATCCGTTGATAATTTTCATTATGTAAACAATGACCTGACAATTTGTATAAACATGTGTCTTTAAGATAAATTGTATTGGCTGATATGGTCATTGTATCGACCATGGTATTTGCAAAATGTTGACTTTAGATGAGACTGTTGATATCCCAGTTTCATTAACTTACTTACCAATACCTTGCCTCGGTTTATAAAAAAATGTTTATACTTAAAGTCGAACTCCATATGCAGATTGTACGAGTAAAGCATTATTATTATTTATTATTAAAATTTGTTAAAGCGCTCAATTTTACAAAATGAATCAATGGCGCTGTACAATAGAATATATACATGATGTAAATTGATAAAAGCGGTTAGCATGCTTTCATGGAATTTGACTGTACAGTGATATATCTAAATGTTTAATTGATATTTTTGGCCATGTCAACAAAAGAAGACACATGACTTTTTTCTAATAAAGGAAAAAAATAAATCCCAGATGATGTCACAAATGTATGTTTCAAAATAAAGCTGAGATTTTCAGTTTCAGGAAGTTTAATTTCAAAAATTTCTTCGTCTCCATTGGTGGCGTCCAAATGTGCTCCGAAAAAAAAAATATGTTGATGTTGCAAATTTAATTGTCTTTCATGCTCTATTGACTCTGAAATTAGGTAACTGTAAACTACAAAAAGAAAATAAAACATAGAGCTTTTATAAAGCTTAAGCAACAATTTTAAATAGTAAACAGATCTATAAATTTCTTGATTTTGTATTTCTAAATATTTATCCACTTCAAAAAAAGTGTACAAAATCTTACTCTTCAAACAAGAAAGGGGAAAAGAATAATAACAAATTGTAAAGCCTGCAAGCAATAAAAATCAAATTTTATTCATAATGAAATTAAAGAGACCTTTTTATTTATATACTTTTATCACTATAAAACAGTATGTTATTAAGAATTAATATGCTGATTTTGTTGTTCGTTTTGTCATTTTTTTATAATGATCAGAATATCAAAGCAAAAAATTTGTTATTGCAATTTTTTCACAAAAGAGAGGAATTTTAGACTGTGAAAAAACTTCAACTATACAATACCGTCTTCCAAGGAAGAATACAAATTCAAAAAAAATATATTCTGTACATAGATCTTTTCTTTGAAAAACGGATATAATGTGTAAATAAATATAAAATGTTTGCTCACTGCGGGTCAGCAGGTGTGTCCTGAAATGGGGATGCTTACTTCTCCTAGGAAAATCATCCGTTTTTAAAATTCATTCTGTATTTTGAACAGATACTGAGTACATCTGTTTATTAATATTTGTATTTCTCTCACAGGAAGAAAGACAAGTAAACAAGATAATAAAGTTTTAAGAAATGTACTATTGACTTTATACAATAAAATATATGGTACATTAATCAAAAAAGAATTCGATATATATAAACGAACATATACTGAGTACTTGGCAAATATTTAAATAATGTCGTTTATAATCGTTTGTAATGATTAGTGTACAGAATTTATAGCTTTCATCATCTTTTAAATAATTTCAATGAGAAAAAAGGAGAAGAAAATAATTTTTATGTAATCTATTTTTATGCAGGGTTCTCCATGAGCTGTTTTACTGTGTTGCTATGACACAGCAAAATACGAAAGTAGATTAAAAATATGCGACACATAAAGATCAAAATTTGAAGTTTCATTTTTTCCTTTGCAATTCGGTAATTTGATAAAAAAAAAACTGATAAAAAAGTGCAACAAATTTACTTTCAAAAATGGTAATTAGTTTGATTGTATCGATCAGAATTCCCCCTGCTTTTCATAGCACGTGCTTTTACTTTTATCAATATGTATGACGAAAATATTTGTATATCGAAATAGTGATTTATTTTGAAAAGTGTGCGCATATGTTCTTATATAAGTTTAATGAAAAGTAATTCAGTGCGAATTTGTTCGAAAATGGACATTTTCACGTAAACTCTGCAACACAGTCAAATTTCAAATGATGGAGAACCCTGCAGATGTATTCAGTTTTTTTTTATATATATAAAGCTTTCTTCATGTACTAGTATTACTTAAGTTAATTAAAGGGATGGCTAAATATTTTGGCAAGGCTTTCGAGAGAATGGGTTATCCTAAAGCCAGTAATTAACTTGTCCTTTCTGTGCCAGTAGCATAATTTAAATTATTTATTTATAAAATTTTTATTTCCTAAATTAGCCAAATTCGAAACATCTTTCATGTACAGTTTAGATACACAAGGTGTGCTACGCCATTTTGACCCCCTGTTCAATGCTTCAATTTAATACATAAATCGGATATGCCTACTGGTTTTCGTGTAGCATTGGGTTCAAATATGATACTATATATACCAAAGTTTAAATACGTTGATAATGTTATCAGCTAAACTTACTGACTTCAAATTTTATTCGCCATCCACGTCACGGAAATTATTATATAAAATTTTAAAATACAACAATAAATTTATTTCATTGACAAACAAAACATAAAAATTAACAACGAAAAAGTCTTGATTTTATTTAACATATGTTATATGTGTTAGAAACAAACAAGGCTTTGTTGAAGTTTCTGTTGTCGATAGGTAGCGCCATATATTTCCTGTTGCAAATATATATTTATATATTTTTTGAAACTGTTTAAATAAAATATTTGTTACAATTAAATGTTATTTAAAAAATGTGTTTAAAAATACAGAAATCAGTTATCATTCGTACGTTTGTTGGCAACTCATTCCAAATCGAAGGTCCAGCTACAGCGAAAGACCTTTTGAAGTAGGAATGAAAATGAATAACTACATATACATGTGTAATTGATAAAACGTCATTGATATATCTAAATGTTTAATTGAAGGCCACAGCAAAAGAAGATACATTCTTTTCTATAAGAGGTTTTAAAATAAATCCCGATTTACATGAATTAAATAAAGCTGCTTGTTCAGGATCGCATGGGGATTTCTTTGGAAGACTTGATCTCCGAAAACTACATACATAGATATAAATAAGTTTCAAAAAATGAAATATTTATCCTGACTTAAAAAAAGTGTACAAAATCTTATACTAGTATCTGAGGTAAAAATGTTTATTATATTTGTAATGTAATATGCTGTATGTTTTTATAATGATAATATCAAAGCAAAAAATTTGTTATTCGTTTTCAGCACAAAAAAATATATTCGCTTCATTTCTTTGAAGATATAATGTGTATAAATATAAAATTCCAGAAATTCACATATTATAAAAATCATTAATTCATCAGATCATTGTTTTCATCTTTTTAAAATGATTGGTTTTACCATAGTTTTACTCTAAAGCAATGTTTTTTTATGTTTTCATAATAAATTACTTAAATGATATAGGTACTAGTAAATCATAAAAAACAAGATGTGTTTGTGAAACACTATGCGCCCGGCGGCAACAAAGTTCGAAAAAACTATTTTTAGCATTTATGTCACATTCAAGAATACAAGGTCATTGACCTTGGTGTCGTTTGAAAGAAGAACTTAATTAGTAAAGTATGCATACCAAATATGAAGTCCCAATCTTATATGGTTCAAAAGTTATGGCAAACAGTGGAAAAAGCTATTTTTAGCATATAGGTCACAGTCAAGGTCACATGGTCATTGACGTTGATGTCATTTGAAAGAACTTTATTAGTAGAGTATGCATACCAAATACTGAGTATGAAGTCTCTATCTCTTATGATTCAAAAGTTATGGCGAAGGTTAAAGTTGACAACAGACAAACAGATAAACAGACAAACAGACAGGACAAAAACAATACACGCCCTGGATCTATCGATGCGGGCGCATAATTATTCAATGAATCTTTTCAAAACAAAGTTATCAACATTATTCACTATATATTTATTAAATGAGAACTTATTCGTTGATACATGTTTATGCTTTGATTTATACATCAGTAATACAATAGTTAAAAAAAACAAACCTTTTTTTTTAGCTCACCTGAGCTGAAAGCTCAAGTGAGCTTTTCTAATCACAGTTTGTCCGTCGTCCGTCTGTCCGTCTGTCTGTCCGTCTGTAAACTTTTCACATTTTCGACTTCTTCTCAAGAACCACTGGGCCAATTTCAACCAAACTTGCCATAAAGCATCCTTGAGTGAAGGGGATTCAAGTTTGTTCAAATGAAGGTCCACGCCCTAAATCAAGGGGAGATAATTGGGAATTAATGAAAATTTTGTGGTATGTTTTAAAAATCTTCTTCTCAAGAACCACTGTGCCAGGAAAGATGATACTTATGTGGGAACATCCTCAGGTAGTGTAGATTCAAATTTGTTCAAATCATGACCCCTGGGGGTAGGGTGGGGCCAAAATGGCCGACCAAAGTTTTACATAGAAATATATAGGAAAATTCTTTAAAAATCTTCTCAAGAATATCAAAGCCATAATTGTTCATATTTATATGGAAGCATCTTCAGGTAGTGTAGATTCAAATTTGTTCAAATCATGACCCCTGGGGGTAGGGCAGGGCCAAAATGGCCGACAAATGCTTAACATAGAAATATATGGAAAAATGCTTTAAAAATCTTCTTCTTAAGAATAACAAAGCCATAATTGATCATATTTATATGGAAGCATCCTCAGGTAGTGTAGATTCAAGTTTGTTCAAATCATGACCCCTGGGGGTAGGGCGGGGCCACAATGGCCGACCAAAGTTTTACACAGAAATATATAGGAATTTTTTTAAAAAAAATCTTCTTTCTTAAGAATTCCAAAGCCATAATTGGTCATATTTATTTGGAAGCAACATCAGGTTGTGTAGTGATTTGGGGGGTAGGGCGGAGCCACAGAGTTTTACATAGACATATATCGGAAAATTCTTTTAAAACCATATTCTAAAGAATACCAAAGCCAAGATTGGTCATGGGATTACTTTTGGATTTAAACTTTTAAATAAACCAATTTGTACTTTTTCCTAGCCACAGTGCTCAGGTGAGCGATGTGGCCCATGGGCCTCTTGTTTTTATTTCGTAGAGAGCGCTTCAAACGAAAGCATGATAATATATATCAAGCGAAGTGATAGTCTTCCGCAACATTAGAAGTATTAAGGATGTATTTCTTTTTTAGTACCGGCATTCTAAATTTAGCAGGGATGATGTACTAAGAACAACAAAATTAATATCTGTAACAAACACATTTTATTTTGATTGAAATATTGCCATTTACAACTGCACAACAGCCAATCATTGCAGAAAATCCCCAACGTATGTATCACAGAAAGCAAATCAAATCTCATTGTCAAATATCATTTAACAGAGTTAAAACAACTTTTAATATCACAGCCTAGAACATGGACAAACATATTGAGTATAAATGCGTCAATTTTTGCTGTATAATTTTTCATATTAACAACAATACCGCTTGCTATCTTCAAAATTATTAAGACTCAACAACATGGCCGCTCCAATCACTAATAATTTTTCTTGTACCTTAATCTTCTTGACAACTGAAAAAAGAATAAGCAGTCATTAAATACTGTTTACAACGAATATAAAACTTAGAGTCTTTTTCAACATAAAATATTTGTTTTAAAAGATAGTTTTTAAGTAGATGCATATTTGTATAGATAATTAGATTTTAGATCTCTGAGTACAGTAATTTATGCCCGAGTACCGTAACATATTTGTAAGTGCTGTAATAAATAACTAAATATTGCAATATATTACAGAGTGCTTTAATAGATCACCGATTAGAATAAAGATTACTTAGTAAACTAACATTCTATGTGAATTTTATTTTCCAATCCTATCAACTCCTTTGAATTGTGGAAAGATTTCTTCACAAGATTAGCGACAGTTTCATCATCCCTATCTTTGACCTGAAAGACATAAATGACCAAGGAAGTTATATCTCACGAAACCATTTAAACATTTTCAATATTGATTTTGTAAGGCAAGAAAATTCAAACAAAGTTAACTATTTGAACAAACTTACATACACTGTGCTGTCCTTGCACCAACCACAGTATTGAAAATAGCAGCAGTCATTTGAGAAAGTAAACTGAACATCTCCTGTACGATCTACAATCTCAAAACTCGGTCTACAGCATGTTCGCCTGAAAGCAAAATTATTCATAAAATGTAACAAGCATCTATGTTAACAAGATATTTTTTTTATTGGAGTATTGTTCGAATACAACGATCTTTAGATAACTTGGAATACACGTATCAAAATTCAAGAATTACGTAAACATTTTAATATTTCAATCCTTGGAGGATCCGTAAAACGTAAAAGTTAGAATTTTTAAAAGCTTTCGAGAAATTGTCAGCATGACCATTCATGCCAACCATAGGCATACTAATGGTCAAGCCATCAAGATTTTTTTTCTAAATTTAACCTTTCTCTGACGATTCCAAGTAGCAATCGATTTGGGTGTTTGATGATAAGTTCTGGAGTGTCACAGGAACAAATACAGCACCCCCTAATGGCCACCTCTCTGAACATCCTCCCTACGTCATTATCGCTGGGATCCTGTACACGTGTAGTCAGGTCTCTCCCAGAACCCAGGCACGATCGGTATAAACAGACAAAGGCTACCAAAATTTACATTTTATTAATCAGCTTTTAAAAATTTTGTCTTTCACCAATTAACAATTTTCCATTGCCAATGAGTACATGAACTATATGCATCATTTACGAGTTTTACGATATCGTAGATATTAAAAATGATAGATTTCTCATGAAAAATCAAAAACGTTTTTATAATACCATAACAAACACTGAATTAATCACACATTTTGAGTATAGAGTGGTACCCCCCCCCCCCCCCCCCCCCCCCCCCCCCCCCCCCCCCCCCCCCCCCCCCCCCCCCCACAAATTAGATTAAAAAAAAATAATTGATCATTTCTTATGAATGTATTAAATACTAGTATAGGTTTTCGAGGAACAAACTCTTATATACATCACTAATACATGTGCATATGATAATATCGTTGTGAAAAGTTTACCTTAAAATCCCTGTACACGTTAAAGAAATTTGCAATAGGAACTAATGTGCCTTTTCAAATAAGACATTTTTTGCTAATAAACTAACTTATCTAGGTATCAGTATTGTAGAAATAATTGTCATATTTAGGCCCTACCTTCTCTAATTTCAAATAAGAATTCCTCGGATTCGTTTCCATTATGTACAGTGTAAGCACCTCGACCAATACAACACGGACAGATCACTGGAAAATAAAAGTCTTCAATTATTCATGATTGGTGATTGAGAAAGTATATTCAAGGCATTGCGAAATACTGTATCACCAACAACGAAAAGAAATAGTTTAATTCAACTTTAAATTGAATTTAAAATCAGATTTCAGGAAATTATTTGCACGTTTATAAATTTGGTATTTAAAGTATTGTCACCTACGTCCACAAGCAGTTATCTCCTGACTTAGAATAATCCGGTCAAGATTCTCTATGGATTCCAGTCCAGTTTCATGCTCCGTGTAATTCCCGCCATTTTCTCCTGGACTGAGTTGAGCAGACGGTTGTTTGGTTATGGTGGTACCATCATTGGACACTTTGTTATTGGACATGTCATATCATATCAAGCAAGGGAAGACAAAAGCTAAGATTAAATGAAAGAATCAACGTGCCTGTCTGTTTACAATCGTTGTTTGACAACAAGCGGGAGATAACCCGTGCCTTTAAACTGTTATTTTAAAAACCAGCGACCATAAAATGTACCTTTAAATTAGTATTTTAAAAGTCAACTAAGATTTATGTCAACTCTAAGATGTTTCTTTTCCATAAAAAGTGTGATCATTGTATTTTTACAACAGATATCTGAATAACACATTTTGCATTTACGTCAGTGAAAAAGTTGTGCATCTGATGAAGAAAAACTATAGAAATTCAGAAGAATGTCCTCACTATATTTAACGCTGAGATGTATCCATTGGTGAAAATTTTCACAGATATCTATGGCACGCCAAATTCACAAAAATGAGCAAATCATAGTTTCACAATCGATAAACTAGGTTTATCGGTTGTAAACTATAGTTTACGGACTGTAAACTATAGTTAACAACGTTAATCTATATTTTACATCTGTAAACTATAGTTAACGCGATAATCTATGTTTCACAACCGTAAACTATACTTAACACTGAAAACAATCATTTGCGATTGCAAAACATAGATTATCTGATAAATACAGTTTCACGATTTGTAAACTATAGTTTACAAACCGTTAACTATAGTTAACGATCTGATAAATATAGTTTCACGATTTGTGAAACTATGATTAACAACTCTTAACTATAGTTTACGATTGTAAACTATAGTTTACGAACGTGAATCTATGTTTATCAACAAAATCTATTGTTAACGCTTATTACAGACAGATAAACTTAGATTATCATTCGTAAACTATAGTTAACAACCGTTAAATATAGTTTTACAGATGAAAACTATACTTAACGAATCGTTAACTATACTTAACGAATCGTTAACTATAGTTTACGGTTTGTAAACTATAGTTTACAGTCGATAAACCTAGTTTATCAAATGTGAAACTAGGTTTATCTCATTTTTGTCAATTTGGCGTGCCATAGATATCCATGAATTCTTATTTACACAGCAGTACGATTTCTAAATAACTGGGTTAATCTGAGAAGATGTAAGCTCTTAGAACTGCAGAAATAAAGACGATTTTAGATCCAAAATGGCAGTAGTTAAAATTTAGAGTCCTTAATCAACATAACATGTTTAGTTCGGTAATAGATAATTTTTCCTGTATGGTCAAAATAAATTTTCAGCGATACACTAAGAAAAACAATGCTGCTTGTATGTTAAAAAATATATCATCAATGGTCGTTCATCTCAAGTAACAATGATCGAAGTATTCATTATTTGAATGAAATATATGAAAGTATCGATCGTTAGAATTCATCAAATAACCTATGCAACATATGCTCCACCCAATCCCACCCTAGCCCCTCTAAATGACAGACATAAAATTGTACAATTATGTTAGGCTAAAGATTTTTCTAAATTTAAAAAGGAAGACACGGGTTTGTTTCGTCACAATCAATAGAAGCATTGCACAGATGGCCGTATCTGTATTAGTGGTTGTCCAGTTTCTGAGTTTGTTTTTATCAAATGGAAAATGTTTACAACTGGTAAGTAGTGAAAAAGGTCAATACGATATTAATTTGAAATTATTTTAAAACACATTTAATGATTTTTTTAAATAGTATATGATTGATGTGCTTTTGATAATATCGAATGATTATAAGATTCAAGGCTCTATGATAAAAAAGTGAATTAACATTGATAGTTTTAAGATGTTGTAAAAATAAGATATAGACTTTATTATCAAAAAGTTTTATATTTAATTAATTTTATGCTGCTTTTTTAAAATACCTTTCTTTCAAACTTGCAATAGCACATGAACATAGAAGTACAGCCACTGACAATTTGCAAAGAAAAAGAACATTAAAAATCAACATATATATATACTAGTATATGGAAAAGGGAATTAAAACCCGTAAAGAATAATACTGCAGTATTAAATACATGTAAATTATACAGTGATCAAAGGATGCATTCGTAAATCAACCTTGGGATTTGTGGTTTGATTGATTTGACCACGTGTTTCTCTGTGAAGCTTTCTTCATAAAGGACCAGAGTGTCACATGTTGTCAACTCTTGAACAAAGAAATCAATTATTGAGCAAATGTACTGCGTTGCAAATATTTTTAAAAAATCTACATTGAAACACTATTTTAATGAAATCGGTAAAAAAAAAAAAACTGATTGTGATGATTTTTCTAGAATCATTGGAGATAACGTAATATATACATTGTATTTGCATGTAAAAAGAAAATAAGCTTAGACTTATTTTTCTTTTATACAGAATGAAGAGGGTAAGACAGAAACATTATCTGTTGTAGTAGATTCCAAAACACACAAACAGGCAGACATTATACAGATAATAGAACCACCGAAATCTGTTCAAGATTCACAAAAACTGAAAATATCGTACCACTGCAGCAACGACAAAGTGTTGGGAATAGAAATCATCGCAAACACTGCCACTCATAAGATAAGACTATTCCATAAAGCATGGAAATGCAAAAAGACAAAAGAAATCAACAGAGTATTAACAGTTAAAACACATTTTCCGTACAGATATGCGTATCAGCCGGATATATTTCAAGGAAATTATGAATTTTTGTCGGACACTAAAATCCGTGTGTGGATTTTGGACGAATGGCAATGGAAGACAGCAAAACGCAACCTCGACGCATTTATGCGAGCTTTTGTGAAAGCTAGTTATCTTGTGGAATACTCGCCACCCTTTTCCAGACCAAAAAGGAAATTTAAAGATGTTTGTGTGCCATGGAATGCTCAGTTACTTTTGGATAGGTTCCTAAAATTAATACCGACATGTCCACTCGAAAAAGGTATGCAACATTACATTGTCAATTCATTGGTCCATCTAAAATATACATATAAGGCATATTTTAGAATTTCTTTTAAATTTATCTGCTGGTAGGAAATTAAACAATTACACTATGACACATGTAATGATAAATGCCACTTTATAGATACTGTTGAGATTATAAAGTTCCCGGCTGTGATGAATGGCCTTCCTTACGGCATTGTGAGAACATTTCAACCTTACAGAGATTCTGACCTAGAAAAACGGAGACTGGTAATGTTACAGAGACCAAGGTAAGAGTTCCTTCGTTAAATCATTCAATACTACCTCTATTTTCTTCACTACTACAAAATCTACATGAATTTACAAATAAGGAAAATTATTTTTCCAATTAACCCTAATAATGGGGTCATTTTCAGGGAGTCAGATTTATACAGGACTCGCATTTGATGTTGCAACCCCAGGATTATTTTTCAATTGTGCAAGTTATGCTATATAAAATGAAAATAAATTTACAACTTAGCATACAATTTTTCCTTTTGTCTTTAGCTTTACCCTGTCTGTGTGGCTGTATGTGTTGGAATACTGTCGGGACGGACTATGTGGCATCATCACTAGAATGGACAAGACGTCACGTTATCTTACGCCATTGATTTTTCTGACAAAAGATGGTAATCTATCAACAAAAATTACTCTCAGATCTGTCATAAAAATGATAGAAATGTCTCTGGGTGTTTAAAGTAAAAATGGAGAAATTAAGGAAAATCTTTATTTATCAGCATATGATAGATTTCTACAATGTGTTACAGTTTTAAACTTATATAACTTAATAATTTTTGTAAGTTCTAAAACTTACCATTCCAATGCTGAATATTAATTTTGATCTTGTATATTGTAGGTAGTTTCCACATCCAGATCACCCAACCTCATGGACAAGATATCGCAGCTATCACCAATTTCAAAGTACCTCTGCACCAATGGTTCAGATTCGTCTTTACTCTTGAAAACCAAATGGTAATACAAGAAGAAGTAAATCGAAGATTGAAATTTATTCCTGGTTCATTTTGCACATCACCATTAATTAAAACATAGTCATACTGTTTAAGTCATAACATCAATAAAGGATTGTTGTTTGAATTTTCAGTGGAAAATAACATTTCATCATGGACCCAGTTTCAATAAAACATTTCAAACGTCATTTCAGTAAGTCTGTAACAAGAAAAAATATGTAAAGATGCTTATTAAGATAATGGTTGTTGTGATAGAAATTCTTGTAAAATCAAAATATTATGATAAACAATCGATCACGTTACATAAAAAAAATCAAAGAGGGTGTTGCAGTTCTTTTGTTATTTTCCCTAAATGTGTAGCAGATATAAATAGAAAAAAAATTTCAAATTTTTTAAATGCATCAATAAGCACAACGAGAAACAATATTTGGAAGCTGCGTATTTCAGATTTTCCGTTTTTTGAATCCCCATTGTTCTGAAAAAGTGCCTCCTTGAAACAAAATAATTTTGATATATATACAAAGAGGCAGGAATTTTCTTCAAAACTGCCATTTCCGATTTTTGTTTCAAAGAGGCACATTTTTAAAAAACGCAAAAATTGAATAAAAATTTATTCTACAAACGAAATGCAAAGTGTGTACATTAAATAACACTGAAAGCATCGTGTCCTAAATGGTCTAGTGGATACGATGATTGGTTACCAAATCGTACATTTACAGGAGAATGGGTTCGAGTCCTGGTGTGGATCATTTTTGCATATATATTTTTTCTTTTTTTTTCCATATGTAATGGTATAACAATGAAATTGTATATATTTTGAAAGAGTGAGAATGTCAAGAAGTAAATTGAGTAATAATGCAGGATAAAATTGTTTTCCTTGATATGCTGTTATTAAAACTGATACTTTATTTAGTTTTGTCTTGGAAAACAAAGTTACTGTATTTTATAAATATTTTTTTTTTACATACTGTAGTTATCGCAATTTTGAATAATGCTGGACTCTTAGTCTTAGTAACCAAGATTTGATTTGAAACATGGATGTAGCACCAACAGTGTGATTATGGGACGCAGTTTTGTTTCACGAAAATATTTTCGCACGATGTCTACAGTATATCTTTTAAAATGTTGATTAGCCATTGTGCTTTTTGTTGTTCCAACCTTTTTCGTGCAAAATGACGAAAGTGTTTTGCTGTATCAAGCTTGTAAGTCCCGCAGTTATGATTGTCCTCTACGTAGCTGTATCTATATTTAGACATAACGAGGGTATTTAAATGTCCTTCTCAATATACAGGGAATAATCGCGAGTTTCTGCAACACCCTCTTTTTAAATATGTTTTATTGCTGTAAGTATCCCCGGAGCAGTCTACATGAACGACACAGATGGACTGATGGTGATTGGGGGAACGGAAGGCATGCCTGCCTTTAGAGGTTATATAGGTCAAGCCACATATTACAGACATCAGATCAAACAACCCAACCAAGTAAGTTGATCTCCATGGAGAGAATATCAGATTTAGGGAGCCGATTTTTCTGTGATACATCTGTAGTGATATTTTCAGCCTATTAGAAATAAATTTCGTGCTTTTCCCTTTGAGCATAAAAAGATGTAACTAGATGTAAAAAATTGATCAACCTTTTTTTCTCTTTGTGATTCAGATACCTTTCCCAGGTTCCCAACATCCAATGTTTGAGCTGCAGCTATCGAGACGGGAGGACAAATGTCTCTCTTTCCTACAGTGGACGAAAGAGAGACTAAGAATTTACAAACTTAGAAGACAACGTGACGAATACAGAAGTAGGTTAAGATAAGCCACAGACACAAAAATGCAACTATTTTACACAAAAATTCAAATATTTAACAAAAACTTTCACGATGTACATGTGATATTTACTTCAGGGAGTTCTTTCCAATACTTTGCAAACATCCGTCAACGAACGTTGAACCAAATTTCAAAGAACGAATCCTGTTCCTACCTGGATGGTCCTGCACCGAAGAGTTACAGAATTCTGGATAAAGTGCTCAGAAGATTCCCTTTGTCCCCAGATAAAAGTGACTTGAGTTTGAAACTAATAGGTTCCAGGCTATATAATGTTTTAAAAAAGAAAATAGTGAGTATCCCATTTGTTTCATAATTATATCATTTTTATGGTATATGAAAGGAAAATAATTGTGTTACAAAACATAAAAAAAGATTTTTTTTAAGGAATAAAAAGCAAATTGTAACTTTCAACAGTTGCTTTCCATTTATGACTGAATCTTAATTAACTGTTCGTCAAGGACTCTGATGTTAAGCGTACTGGCAGACTTTTACCAGTGTTGAAACAAAGTGCATGTCTGGGAGACAACGATGCAATGTTTCTAGTGGCAGTTATCCTGAACAACGGTTTTCTTGTTAAAGCCGACGAAATGCAGGTACCATGATTTTACTTCTCTCTTAAGATTTAGTCAATAGGTCTTGAAGTACCTTCTTAAATTAATGTATACAACTTATGCTCACAGGCTTTGGCTTACCTTATGATGGCCGCGTTGGACAACCACAGGCTGTCATTTCTGGCAATTGGAAATAAACACAAAAACGGACTGGACACATTGCCATTAGATCTGGAACAAGCATACAGTAAATATTTTCACTATACTTTAGTAAATTATCAATTTTTGCTCTTTCACGTTCTCTTCCATTTATGAATGTTATTTTTTGCAGTGTATTTCAAATATGTAGCTGATACGACGAGAGAAGACCGTGAAAAACATAAAGAAACCGATGTAAGATACTGGTACAACATTACAATTAACCTAGCACTTTTCATTTGTTTTCCTCGCTTTTAATAAAAGGATTTTTTGAAATAGGTCCTCACTGAATCAATACGTCTGACAGATGACGCCAATCTTCGAGAGCAGACGGACGAAAATGGCGATGTATTTCATTGGTGGATCCATCAGGCAAAGAAAGGCGTGTTTACGGCTCAGGTAATGCTAAGAAAATCATAATTTTGTTTTATTACAATTCCTGAATGCATATTTAGTTAAAAAAAATTTTAATGTGTAAATGTAAATACCGAGGATTTTAATTGTACTATACTTCCAGCAACACGTTGCCCGGATGATGTTTTGGGGTACACAGGGTATAAAACGTAATGTACAAGCAGCAGTCGAATATTATAAGATGGGCGTGGAATCGAAGGATCCCGCCGCCATGTATGATTACGGTGTTCTAATGATGAGGGTAAAGAGGATAACTTTCACATAGTAATCACATTTGTAATATAATAATCATTTGTATCTTCTTAACAAGTCGTGTTGACATTAACTAGGGACAAGGGGTGAAGAAAAACGTATCTGAAGGTTTATCACACATTAGAAAATCTGCAGAACAGGTAAACCTTCCCACTTTAAACACACGTTTCCTTTATTTATTTCATTAAAACAAAATGGATCCTTTTTTTCATGTGTACAAAAAAAAAGTTGGAGTTTTAATTTTACGAATTTATCCTATATTCTTCAGCCTTAGAAGAGAAATTGTACATGTACTAGTCCTAGTATTTTATAAAGTCTATAATTTACTAATCTTTATTTGTGAAATGCAGAAAAATCCAGAAGCATTGAATGCCCTGGGATGGTATGCGATGAACTTTGGTAAGAATTTCACTCAGGCAGCTGAGTATTTTGAAGAAGCATATCGCCATGGTAACCCAGATGCTGCTTTTCATCTTGGGATTCTGCATCTCCATGGAAACTATCCAAACAAAACAGCTGACCCTGTATGTAAAAAAAATTGACATTTTTTTTCCGTCTTTGAATATCCAAAACTGTATAAGTTATCTTTTTTTAAAAAAAAATTGTAGGATTTAGCGTTGCAGTACTTTAGTTACGCGGCTGTTAGAAATCAGTTTGATGCGGGAATAAGCTTGGCCTATCTTCACCACAAGGGGACCCCTCGCTCCACTAGAAACATAGAGATGGCTGTAGAGTAAGGCACTGGAGATTCAATTCAGATAATATCAAGTTATGAAATAATTTTTTGCAGCTCAAAAGTTCAAAGAAAAAAAATACTTGACCAGTTGTTTCTTACTAGTACATATAGTTTTAATTTTTTACCAGATGGGTTAGATTTATTGCCGAGAAGAATCCACATATAGGACTAGTTCTTCGATCTGGACTGCATTCATACAGACACGGTGATCAGTAAGTCAAAGAATTAGGTCAGAGAAAAAACTAAAACGGATATAAAAACACTAAGCCATTTTATGATATTAAAACGTTTATAATTAATTGTCGTCATTACAAATTATTGTTAGATTATGTTTTTAGTAAGGATTGATTGATGGTTATCATTTCAAAAGCCCAGTCACTGAGAAAGAAATAAGATAAATCACAAAGTCCAGAAATGACGGCAGTGATGAAATTGTTCACATTATTTGTTAGACGTTTTCATTTATTTACAGTTTTCTTGCCATGTTGTATTATATGATGGCGGCTGAAGCTGGGATAGAAGTGGGGACGTTCAATTTGGCGTGGCTTTGTGAAGAAAATAAAGTAATATACTGTCATTTTAGGGTATACATGGTTGTATATCTATTACACTATAGAGAATTTTGTTTTAAAGCATATTTATTCTTTTTTAAAAAGATATGAATAAGTTTTTGCGGGTTAATGATCTTCTTTTTGAAATTTGTTCCTGTTATCTTGACGAAAGGATTGATATTTTTATTGCATCGAATGAAATTAGGTACCTGGATCAACAGTTTTAAGTATACAATATTATTGACAGGATGGGATTTCCTCATTCATTGAGAAAGATTGTCAATGGAGAAACTACAATCTCTCTACAAGAAGAGAAAATCATTTTGTGGATTCCTATGGTAAAACAAAACTTGTACACAAAGATTTTATGTGCCTAACTCGAATTTGGGATTTTCCGTTTTTTTAAAAATATGCTTTATTTTTAAACCGGTAATGTATATTGCATATCTACTTGAACCCATTAAATAAGTACTTAATACAAGGATACTGTGTATTTCCAATTGCTCCATAAATAGTACTTCACTCTTTTTATTCGTCACCTAAAATAAATGTTGTCTGGGTCAAACATTGGTGCTAAAACCGATATGAAACAAAATGGATTTAGAACTAAGCTTCCTGGTAACTTAAAATATTTTCATTATAAAAATACTATCGATGCTGTTTTGTAGAATTGGAATAAATTGAATTTTCCAGCTTTTCTAAAAATGGGGGACTATTATTGGTACGGTTGTGAAGGACAAAGGGACGTCGACAAAGCAGCGGAATTCTATACTCTGGCTGCGTCCAAAGGAGACCCTCATGTACTGATTTAGCCTACATAGTTTTTGCAAAAAATGTTTTATCTTTAATTTCTCTACGTCTAACCATAAAAAAAAAAAAGTAAAATAAAAAAAAGAACAAGAACAAAAACAAAACAAAAAACAAGCAAGCAAACAAACAATCTTTGAGTACTTTTTTTTTTTTTATCATTTTTTGAGAAATTGAATAATTCATAGAATTTTCAACTAGACAAGTTACATTAATGCTTAGAGCGAATATAAAGAATTTTAATTCTCATTCTGTTTTAGGGCATATTCAACCTGGCTTATATTTTCGAAGAAGGTGCTAAAATATTACCACACATATGGCAGAAGCTAGGGATACCAAACTACCAACAAAGTTCTAAATTTGAAATCCTTCATCATCTTTACTCAAGGTTTGTATTCATTGTATGAAACAGAAGTGGTATAAAGAAGTACTTCTGCTGTCGATTTTGTTTGCTCTTATCTTTCCTGTGCTATTTTATGTATATTTTAAGAGGGCCTTCCTGTAATGATTTTTTTTAAAATTTTCAGATGTCGAGATTCTCCAAAAACAGAAGCATATGTACCTTGTACCGTGTCTTTGTATAGAATTATTCTCAGAAAAAGTTGGCAGGAAAATGAGATGATGATAAAGGTTCTGTCCTTAGGGGATTTAAAATATCAATTTCTATAATAGAAGGGGGAAAACAATTTTTCAAAACTTCATATTTACTGCAATCCAAAAATTAAGTTTTTGAAGTATTTATGAGTTATAATCCGTTATGAAAGTTAAGATTGCCTTATAATTTTTGCTTTTCCTTCATTTCAGATAACCAGTTTTGTTGTAGTTCTGTTCTCAACCATTGGTAGTATTTATTTTTTAGTGTTTTATTTAAGGAACCATGTAAATTATCATGTAAACTATGCAGATGTTTTATAGAATAAAGAAAAAAATCAAATAACTTTTGAGATTGCTTCATTTAGAATAATATATACCCCCCCCCCCCAGTAATCATTACATCTGATAAATTATGATTCATGAGCACATAAATATAAGTAATAATAAGTACTTTTGTGATGAGATTATATGTTTTCATATATTGACCCTTATACGGAACTTTGTTGTTCTTTGATCTCTATTTTAAAGCCCACACAGATAAAGTATACGAATCGACATAAGGAAACGATGGTGTAATTTAATGAAAAAAATTAAAATGAAATAACTGCCTCTGTCAGCAGTTTCTTTACGCATTTTCATTTTCAAAAAATATCTGACGGAGAATTTTATCTAATGGTGAAATCAATTCTGATACATTTTCCAGAATTTATACAAATTGTAATTCTGTAATCTTTTATATTTACACTGGGCACTATGCATTTCTCAATAAATAATGAAGAATAGATCCATCACATAAATTCAAACCAAGATTTCGAAATGATGAATTCAAACCTGAAGATAGTTACCAGGTATTTTGTAAATCCAGGAAGCGATAGTTTTGAGAAATTTTTACACTTTTAGCAAATTTCAAAATTATAGAGATATTCGATAAAGAAAACACAGAAGATAAGATATTATAAAAGTAAACATTTGTTATTTGTGAAACTTTTATTAAACTTCTAAACAAACAACCATCAATTAATAATTGAGAATAAAACAAAATTAATTATTAAAATTAAAGCTGCCATTTTGAAAGTTAGTAATGCCTGTGGTTAGTACACATTTATAATATTGCCATTTATCGTCAATGTCATTGTGCGAAGAGATTCCAACATAAAGCTGCCGCCCAGTAATCTAGACCTCAATCATGTTTGTCAACCGTTGTCGAATTTTTACGGTCAAAAATCTAGAAACACTTTCTCTGACAAATTCATCTTCAAAATTCAGTCGAAGTTGTTTCATGCATTTTAAACCCATCGGGATTTTAAGCGTATTGTCACCAAATTCCTTGGGAAGGATGACCGGTACAATGGTACAGGGCGTTTTCGTATACAGACACTCCATTACAACTTGATTGCTGGAAAACGCAGGCCAATCATGCTCACAAAAGTCTCTGGTCAGTAAAACAAATGCCACAGAAGAAATTTGGAATGCCTCTTTCATATTTGAGATCCTAGGATCATCAAATAATGCGATTTGGAAACAGTTTTCATCACGGAGAACGTCTCGTTTTAGAAAGGATAAAAAGTTGTTGGCTTTCTCTTTGTCGTTTGGACTATAGACAATTATTGCATCGTAAAGTTTTTCGTGAAAAATAACTTCACTTTTGCCCTGAAATAAAGTAAAAATAAATAAAATCTTTGCATAACATATTCTTCAGTTAATGCAATAAATTCAAAAATAGATTCTTAATAAGAGAGTTAAAGTTATTCTAAATCATTTATTTACTTAAAGAAAATTGATATTCTTAATTATGCATATGTTGAAAATGTTCCCGACAAAAGCTAAAAAAATACGGTAAGCTTATATTTCGTGCATTTAATGCAAACCGTTATTGTATTTGCATACTGCATAATGAAGAGAGTTGAAATTAAAATAGAAATTTGGGGTAATAGGGTAATATAAATCATTGAATGAAAAAGCAACAAAAATATTATACTTGCCATGATGCCTTAGGATGCCTTCTCTCTTCAAATGTATTAATTTTTTTGGTAAAATTGCGAAGCCTACTAATTTTTATCGAACTTAACATTCGGAAATGTGCTTTTCCTGCCTATTTTTCCACGCTTAAAATCCCCTAGACCTAATAATAGAATGCAGGCAGTATGTTCGACAGCAGGTAGAGTAGACAGCATTACTTGTAGTTTCAGTTCCAGAAATGTATTTTTTGAATGGGAAGGGTAAAGTCAAATAAGTAATTTTCTGTTCCCTTCGTTGTGAGTAACAAAGCTTTTCGGAATGTGATCAAAATCTTTAAAATAACATTAATTATCATAAAAATAATGTGATGTAAACAAGATATGCCATTTAATGCACGTGGATTTCTTACTATCCTGACATCTCTATCATAAAGATAAAAGAAAGCAAGGGATTACTTTTGAGGATATATAGAGACAGAAATTATGTCAATTTTTTTGGATAGATTTATTGAAGTTGAAATAATTCCGGTGATATGAGAGAGAGAGAGGAAAGAGAAGGTAACTCTTCTAATTGTTATATTTCTTCTTTCGTTTTCTGGTCTAAATTTTCAGAGCTAAAAATAGATTGATTGTTGTGAATTGAAAATTTGAGAAACCATGCATGCCAAGTATTGCTGATCGGATAAAAATTCCTGGCACGAAATGTATAAAACATTTCTATACCGAAATGCTTCACAGGTCCTTTTGGTGTTTTTAGTATACATATGTATATGGGCATAAATAAACAATGAAAATACATTACTATACACCGAATCAAAACTTTTTCAGCTTTACTTTTTCTGACATGCTTTTCATTTTGAATTGAATAATAAGTTGTTGTTTTTTGGTATCTCAGAGAAAGATTACAATTTTTTTCTATATAATTTTACGTAAAAAATAAGGTAACCATTATTCAACATTTACTGTGTGTGTTGAAAGATGTTCTGATTAGGTTTTTAAAATATAATAATAATAATATAATAAAAATCATGACCCTCCATAATTTAACATGATTTTTCGCTTGTTTAAAAAAAGATAAAATATGAAAAGTTAATTCAACCCTGATTTTATAGTCTACGTTTTTATAGATTTTCTAACACATATCTGGATCATTTGAAGATAAAATATTTTCTATTAGTTTTTACTATAGGAATTTATTTCTTGCGATATTATTGTGTAGTTAAGGCATACATGATTAAAAAAAAATAAATTTTATCGAATTTGTATAATAAATTATATGTGTAATATTTTTAAATTTTATTTAGAGGAAATATAAAGTTTAACTCATTATGAGAAATCCATAGGAAAAAGTGCATGAATAATGGCATTTATAATTAATATTGAACTTAATTTTCAATCGACTAGCCTTTATTTCTACGGGTACAATACAAAACTTCTCTTGTTACTTACTGTGCTAGAGAAAAAATATCAAAAAAGTATTTAAAAAGTAATGTCATTTTGATAATTTCAGTTTAACATCTTTTCCAAAATTTGATATGTTCTCATTTTGCTCATATTTTTAATAATAAAATGTGTGAAATGTGTTCTCATAATGATTATCATCTGTCTTTTGTGATTTATTTTTCTTCATTATACAACTACAGCATTATGAAATATATTGAATATAATATTTCGTTTTCTTTAGTTTTTAATACTCCCAAGACCTAAACAAATTTGCTTGACATTTTGTCTTATAGACAAATTGAAGCTGAGAATTAAAATTCAATTATTAATTTGTAATAAAAAATACATCAATCAAACAAAAAATATTAACAAGTAATCTAATGAAACAAGAATTTCAACAGTCTGTTTTAAGTCATCATTTCGCAAAATCTTTTTTAAACACAATGAACTTGTCGGTAAATACAATTTAGCATTAAGTTGAATGTTGACCAACGTTTTTCAAACTAATTGCTTGCCTATGGATTTTTTTTTCAATCCGAATTGTCTACAGATATTTGCCTGTTTGCCAAATCATGACAAGGAACACAAGGCAGATGTGAACAGTCAAATGGGAGGGGGTATGGGGGTAGCTTTCTCTTTTATGTTACCTGATTCTTTCACTATTATGATTGGTCATAGCGATCAGATTGAGCTCTATTCCCAATTTGTATGATTTCAGTAAAAGAACTATATGCGGTATAATGCATATATTTGCCCCCACAAAAGTCAAATTTTGAAAACTTCCTGAAATGTGCTGAATTCAATAAATTGTATGAGAAATATAAATTAACAGAAAATATTATGGTGTCAAAGCAGTGTATTCACAATTTTTGTTTTTATGACGTCACAAACTAGTCCGATTTTATATCCTTTTTCAGAAAGAGCACACAATGGACAAAATTTCAACAATTTTAGCTTTAAAATTTATAGAGCGCAAGTTTGTTCAGGAACAATATTGACATATTTCATTGATATTATCATTCTACACATTATATCAAAATATTGATCCTGAACACACATGCGCTCGGTGACTTTTACTCAAAATATCGACGAAATATTGTACATTTTTCTGTAAAATTCCTAAAAAGCTAAAATTTACGTCATGTTTGTGACGTCATTACGTACATATGGCGTCATTACTTACGAAAATATTCAGTGCTTTGAAGTCAGCATATACTCCCCTGTTTAAGAACTTAATAAAATATATCTCCATCAAAGTTTGATTTGGGGGGCAAATATTGGTTATTACCGAATAAAGTTCTTTTAAGCTTACTCTTCGTTGTCTTAAGAGTTCATCCAAAATAAATTAATCAAATATAAAATAATTGATTAAAAAAAGAATATTTTTTCCTTTTTAATATTTCATGCATTGACTGCAAAATTATCTTGTTCATTCCGAGTCAACAGGAAGCTAAAAAAATCAAAGGATTATAGCTTCATCAGGTTTAACTTATATGTTGTATACTAGTATCTTGTTAAAAGTTGTTTAATAAACATAAGTACGTTAAATTTGCTTTTTGTTAATTTTTTTCCTGTTGCAATATTATTCCAATAATTTATTGCATGTCTAGATCTGTCTTTGAGCAAATTCCGCTTTTACACAAATTAAAGTCTGCACATTCTTTTAAATAAAATAAGCTGCTTATTAATCATTAATTTTTTGGATATCGACATGTTTTTCTCCATTTACTTTCATTCTGCACTTGATCTTTTATAAAATTATTAAAAGTCAAACTTATAATTTGAAGGTTATCTACTTACAAAATATCCGTTACAACAATGAGAAAAAAATCCAGTTCATAGTATGGGTTCAGCAAGCGTTTATTGATTTACAAGTTTTTCTCGGTTAAAAAAAATTAATGTTTTGCATGTTAAAATGAAATAAATTAAAATAT